AATCTGACTGACATGTATTTGAATACTGTGGTTTTCTTCTTTTTCTTGTTGCTACCCTTCCTGGCGGCAGTGGGGTCCAGAAACCAGCTCTGTTCCCCTGCCTGGGGTACTTTAAGTCACCAAGGGGAGCTGCTAAGCTGCTTGGTCCCCTCATTCATGCTCTTCGGGTCTTCCTGATTCTCAGCACCTGTCCTGCGATCGAAACTCTTGGAGTCCGGGCAGAAGCCCCCTACTGCCACCATTGTGGCACTGAATTGGGCTGGTCCGCATGGTCCACCTCCAGGAGTCCCCACCTGAGCTGTGGGAGCTTGGGAATGAGAACTGGGGATGTCGTCTAAACGCAGGCCCCCACCAACGTGTCTGGCATGGCTTGCAGGATAGAATAAACGTTCACCGTTTGGTGAGTGTGCGGGTGCCGCTTTCCATCTGTACATTTTCCCTCCCAATGTGTGTAAAACATCTCCACGGTTTAATGTGTCTTGACATTTTGGGTTTGTCTTAGTTGTCTCCAGCAAATCTGGAAGCCTGAGAAGGAGTTTGATTCTTGAAGCATTTGTCATATTTAGAAATAGAATAAAAGGGATAATTCTGCCAGTGTTTTCAGTTGCTTGTTGCTAGAAAGCATTTCACCATCCTGCTTGGAGTAGTTTCAGGTGACCCGTTCTTCAGAGTCCCAGATAGTGTCCTGAGCAGTTTCTACCTCCAGGGGGCCCAGCACCATCCGAACCTGCAGCTCAGCTGTCTCCGTTCTGTCCTTCAGTGGAACAGCACAGGTGCTGTGCCTCATGGATTGCGGCCCTTATGGGTCAGTCGTGGATCAATCAGCCAGTCGAGAGTAGTCGAGAAGAGGAAGCCGTGGCCCTAGTGGAGGAGCCGATGATGGACCTTGTCCTTATTTCTTCTGGTGTCTAGCCCAGATGGTAACAAGCATCAGGTGATTGGCGGGGGATGTCCCCCAAGGTCAAGGCTTCAGGCAGTTGCTGCAAATTACAGTAGCCAGGTAACTCATCTGGCCTTGTCAACTCACTCTGGTGTCTCAGGGAGTCCTACTTCATGTGCTCCACGACTCTCGAGAGCCAGGAGGTTACTTTCCCAGGCTGGAGGCTCTGCGGTACAGGAAATCAGAAATACGGGCAGGCTGTCAGGAACAAGACTGTTCCCTCTGAGTGTCTCTCACAGAAGGGTAGCTCTGAAGGTGAGACCTTTACTCTGGTGTGTCCCTGGCCTCCTCCTGCTCTTGCTGCTGTCCTGAGAAAAGTCTGCTAGCAAGACATGCTGAGGCGGGAGCAGAGTAAAGGCTTTACCCTTTCACCCAGAGTAAAGGTTTACCCCAGCAGGAAAGCCTTCGTCTTCTGCATTCCCTGGACACCCCTTGGCTGCCACGCCCTGTGCTGTGTGTCCAGTCGGCTTGTTCTGAGCCGGCCTGTCCTTGGAAGCCAGGGATTCTGGTACTCGGCAGGCATCGGCTTGAATTCCCTGCAGGCCTTCCGCTGTCTTACATCCTGCACTTCCTTTTCTGGGGGACAGTGAGCAGCTCTGTGGGGGGAGGGGGAGGGAGATTCTGCTTTCCCAGAAGAGGTGACAGAATGATCAGATTTCACTTCCTCCCATTTCCCGAAGTCACGTAATAAAAGAATCCAGTAGTAAAGAGGTCTGTATTACCCGTTTTTGTATCATCAGACAAAATGGGAAGGAACTTCTATGCCGGCTTCTATTTTCCCAAGAGAAGATTCACTTTCATGTGTGCGTATGACTTCCAGAAATGTCTCCCATCCTCCCCACCCCCAGGCTGTGGTACAGCTTCTTTCCCAAAGACCCCACTATAGTGAGTCATCCAGGGAGAGGTGGATTGCTTCGTGGGACAGCCTCCTTACTTAGCTGGTCTCAAGTTCTTCTGAGGAAAGGCTTTCATTTCCTGTTTCTTGCCCTCTCCCACCAAAAACTACCCACACCCTGAGTACAGCTTATATTCGGTGAGCAGATAATGGAGAGCCACAACGCCAGCCAACCCAGCCCGACACGTTCAACCTAAATTTTGCCATAGAACAAAGAGGAGACAGCTGTTTGAGTTGTGTGCAGTTAGGGATATAATACTTACATTTCAGATTCTTATAAATTTGAGAAACCTGGCAGATCCTTTTTATTTCTTACCATTTGGACGGCACGTGCCGTCCAAATGGTAAGAATGCAGCACTCCAGTAGCCTGAGTTTCTCCTGGGCCTTTAGGGACTCCCCTCTCTTCACCTCTTCTCTCCTGGTCTCAATTCCCAGGGGCTGTGGACCCAGACCTGATGTTCTGGCCTGCCTCTTTCTTACTGTCTCCCTCTCTCATCTGTCTTCGGTCAGCCATCTCTCTAGTACTCTCCTCTTGGTCCTCCTCTCCATTAGGACCAGGGTGACCTGTTAACGGCAGTCGAGTTCAAAGGGGAAGCCCCCTTCCTGCCCTCACCTCAGACAACAGATAAGTCCTACAAACCCAGACTGACTTTTCAGAGTGACCAGCTTCGCCAAGCCATCTAGTGAGGTCACCGTGGAGACCCAGAGACTGTTCTCGTCCAGAGCACAAGGTGGGACTCTCTGCTTGGACTGGGGTGACAGGATCCTGATGGCGGTTTCCTCTCCTCCCCTTTCCCAAGATCTGTCACCACACACCATTAGGGATGTTGGGATACGGGCAGTAGAGAAACCTGGCAAGGAGAAAATTCAGATAGTGCCTCTATGTTCTGTTTTTGCCTTCCCCCATCATGGAATTGACACCTGGACCCCAGAGCCCAGCAGGCCTATGCCAGAGCCGGGGAGGCAGGAGCGGGCCTCCGGGGCAGGCTGCCGTACACAGGCCGGAGTGGCCTGTGCAGCGCTGGGCCACGGCAGGCTTCCCCAGCGGCTCCCGTGGCTCAGCGTACCCAGGTCTGTCCCAAGCAGGAAAACAGACTGAACAGCAGATGCTGTGCGAGATCTTAGGCCTTGAACTTTTTTTTTTTTTAAGAAAGAGAAAAAAAAGTAAAATTAACAAGCCTCTTTTGTAAATGATTTTTCTTTCTATGTATAAATTCCGGCAGTTCCTTGTTTTTACATGTTCATGCTGTGTAATTTTGAGATGTTACTGAGATCCTGAACATAATGTGCATTTTTTTCTGTACAGATGAAATGGGAGAATTTAATAAAGAGTTTGCAGGTTTTTACTTGTGAAATCTTCTCTGGTGACTGGGAAGACCCCCAAGCCCCCTGCTCTGCCAGGAACGGCAGCGCAGCTGTGCTGTGCGCACCCACTGCTCTCGCCGCTGACTCACCGCATTTGCTGGCGTCCTTTGTCTCCTCGGCTGGGAAGGTCAGGCAGAGTAGGACGCAGGACCTTTGGAGGAGAGCCAGAGGCTAGATCCAAGGTTTTCTGACTGTCGGGCTGAGGTGCTAGGAATGATTCATTTGACGAATGTGTTTAAGGCACAGGCTAAGGCTCTCCTGGGGAGAGCTCATAGCCGGGACCTGGCCTTACAGATGGCACATGTGGATAGCACCAGTGGCTCACGGCCACCTTCCCACTGGGGCTAGAACTAGGCAGTGTTTCTTCTCCGTGCCCTACCCGGTCCCCGTTGGTCAGCACTCGCCTCCCCATCCCAACAGCCTAGTGACCTTTGTGACCCTATTCCTGAGCCTTCTGCCTCCTCCACTGTCAGCAAAGCTAATTTGCATCAGGGTGTTATGGAGTCCTCGCTTTAAGGAGTTGGCATGATAGCAAGGATTTCTCAAAGTAGACATGTGTGTACTGGGATTCAAGTGCTGGGATGCGCAGTGAGATGACTGGGGGGTCCTGGGATCAGGGTTTCTTCTCAGATCCATTTCGGCAGGTGCCACAAAGGTGTAGCTTAGAGGCCAGGAGAAGGTGAAGTGTAAAAGAAAGGCGGAAGAGGGCTTGGGGGCCTTTGAGCCTGAACTACAAACACTATGTAGGGAGCTCTGGGCAGCCATCACCCTGAATGAGAGGAGTCTGGGGCCAGATGCTCTAGAGTCCTGGAAAGGCTGCCGCCCTGTGGTGTAAGCGTGGGAAATGAGGGGCTGGGTTCAGGCTCCTTGTCACTGGTATTCCCACAGAGGAGAAGTGGGTTACCTTGCCCCACTGCACCTGGCCCCTCGAGGGGACACTACTATGGTCATGGGGACCATGCTGCCTTAGCAATCTGATCGAATTCCCCTACCGTAAAATTTTGTGTAATATTTCTGATAAAAGGATCCTTGACCAACTTTAATCCTCAGAGGCATTTGGCATTTGTTCTCAAAAGGGGGTATAAGAAGGGGCGCCTGGGTGGCTCAGTCGGTTGTGTCTGCCTTCGGCTCGGGTCATGATCCTGGAGTCTCGGGATGGAGCCCCACATCTGGCTCCCTGCTCAGCGGGGAGCCTGCTTCTCCCTCTCTCGCTCCGTCTGTGTTCTCCTTCCCTCTTTCAAATAAATAAAATCTTTAAGGGGTGGGGGGTGAGAATGAAAGGATTTTAACCAAAAAGAGGAAGACCTCAGATACCCAACTCTCAAGCAGATAAAGAAGTAAGAGAGGGGTGCCTGGGTGGCTCAGTTGGTTGAGCAACTGCCTAGAGCTCAGGTCATGATCCCAGACTTCTAGGATCGAGTCCCGCATCAGGCTCCCAGCTCCTTGGGGAGTCTGCTTCTCCCTCTGACCTTCTCCTCTCTCATGCTCTCTCTCATTCTCTCTCAAATAAATAAATAAAATCTTTAAAAAAAAAAAAAAAGTAAGAGAGGGTTTGTGTGACCCGGCTTTCTCAGTTGGTGAGCAGCAAAACATGATTGTCTGCCTCAGCCATATGTGTTTCCCTCTGACAAGCCAGATTGGCTTTGGGACCTGTATGCCCATCAGGCTCCAGGCTGGGGTGGCTGACCTGTCCCCAGAGTCTGCCGACCCTGGACAGGCCTCCCCAGGGCACTGTTGGTCTTGGTCCTAGGATCCCACCTTCCTTGCCCAGAACAACCAACAGCACAGCAGTATCTTCTCAAATTTCCTGTATTTATGGAGAAATTTGGGTAGTCTGGAAGAAAAAGGGGCACCTATAGGGTAACAAAAGACAGCAGACTAGAAGGAAGATGGCTGGAGTAAGGAGGGAGGGTCCGGTACACAGGCAGCCCCTCGGAGGACGTGGGACCCACTGGGACTTGGCCTCTTGCGCTCTGCAGCCCTGGCAGGAGGGCACCTTCTGCCCACTTGCGCCCTGGAACCGAGGGCTGCTCCTTGACCCTGTCGGGTGAGTGGCTTCGTAGGGTGGGCCCAACGGCAGCGATTCCTCCAGAGGGCAGCCAAGATCAGGCCATAGATCAGAGCTGCACCCAGCAGTCCCAGGTAGCAGCTGGCCGCAGCAGTGAGGGTCTGTTCCAGCTCTGCTTCGAGGGAAGGGGCACAGCGTGAAAGTCGGACCCACTGCCCCCCCCCGCCCCGCCACCCCCCACGCTGCCTCCTTCTGAAGAGGTCTCTCTCGCTCACTTGATCCTCCGGGAGGTTCTATTACTCCCCATTTTTACAGATAAAAAAGTTAGACAAGATCTGTAAGGGCAAAGATGGTTTGGACTAGGGGTGGTAGATGGGTGGGTGGATATGAGGCCAAGAAAAGGTAAGACTTACCCAAGGGGCCACAGAGAGTTGGCAGAATTGGGACTAGACCCCGGTGCTGTTGACCAGGTGGGTCTACACCCTTTCCAGCCAGAATCTGAGGGCTCACCTCTGACTCTGCATGGCCCACAGGAGCTTCCCAGACCCTCCTGCAGGAGGGCCCCTCTGATCTCTGAGCTCTTGAATATCCTGTGTTCCTGCCCCTAAAGCCCTTAGGGCAGTTTTCCTTGCATTTTATACATTGGCTCAGTGTCTGACCAAGCCTTCTAGACTCAATAATGTTCAGACTGTTCCAGTCATCTCTCTGCCCTGGGAAATACTTAGTACCCCATAAATGCTTGCTGAAGGGGTCGTTTTCAGTGAGAAGTCACGGCCTTGCTACCTCGGGGGTCCAGGTCCCAGACAGTGTATGGGAGTCCATACCTAGACAAGTATGTCCACTCTTCTCGTGAGTCTCATTCCCATTCTTCAATTCCAGCCTTCTGCAACCTGGAACAGAGGATGGTCTTCAGAGAGCTTCCCTCTGCTGTATCCCCCAAAGGAAATACAGGCATTCACCACTAGAGAATGGAGAAGCCAGGAGTGATAGAGTGGGTGTTAGGGCTTTGGGGGTAGTTGGTCCCATGTCACTGCATAGGCTCCAAAGCCAAGTCCAGGCTTCACCCAGAAGCTGGGGCAGAGCCAGGGTTCTTGGCCACACACAGCAGTGCCTATCTTGATCTAACAGTTTGCCAGGAGGGAACCAGTGTCATTGTTCCAGATGGTTGCATCAGGGGGCTGGAGCACACCCCCTAGGGCCTCTGTTCTCACCCTGGCCACAGGGCAGGGGCAGCACAACTTCTGAGACTCCAGTCTGGTGCAAGCCTCGGCAAGTCACAGAAATTCCTGCCATCTCCTGCGGCAGCTGCAGCCAGCTGACCACGGGCTCCCCAGCTTCTCCAGTGGTGTCCTCATCCTCCTGGTATTGGCCTTTCAGGACCCAGGAGACCCTGAGAGGGTCAGGGTTGTGTCCTAGGGCCACACAAAGTACATGGAAGGGAGGGCCAGAGGCTGGGATGAACAGGCTCAGCTCAGGTGGCTGGAGAGCTGGGGCTTCCTTCCTAGCTGCAGGGAATGAAGGGAAGACGGATGTCACCCAATCCCACCAGCCTCTTCCAAACTCCTAGTCCATATGCATCTCCTTCCCTCTGGGTCCTCTGGAGACACTTCTTCCCTTCCTCTACAGCCTTCCCTTACCATTCTCGGAATCTACCTTCCCCAACAAGCTAGCCTTCTGGCCAGAATATGAGCTCTGAGCTTGTCTCTGCCACCCACTTGTCATCCTCTGGGCCTCCAGTATCCTTCCTACAGAGCAAGGGAAAGGAATGGATTTAATGTTCTTGATTAGGCTTCCCCTCCCGGGCCCAGAAGTCTGGGCCTAATGTGTCTGTGTCCATCCCCAAATGCTCCCAGTCGATTCCACCATCCAGAAGCTTGAGGCTTTTCTCTGGGGGCCCTCTAGGCTTCTGGGCCTTCCTTCCTTTCCACTGGTCCCTACTGACCAAGGCTTCCTCCAAGCGGGGTTCCACCATCTGCACCTTTCTGCCCACTGCCCCCCACTCCACTGCAGTCTGACGAGGGGCACCAGATCCCTACACTCTTAGACTCACCCTGATAGAGCAGACGGGTACCTTCTCCAAAGACATACTGGCCTGAAAACCACAGGGCACAGTAGTAGGTGCCCTCATCGGCAGGACTGGCATTGCCCACGGTAAGGAGTGCGGCATTCTTGGCTGGGTCCATCTCCGCCAGGAAGCGAGGATTCACACCTAAACCATAGGTTGGGGGCATCCCTTCTTGCTGACTTAGCAGGAAGGTGGGGCCACTCCCCACCAGCTGCTGGTACCAAGACACGACATGAGCGCTGACAGGGCTGCCCAGCACCACACACCAGATCTGTGGATTGCCTTGTCCACTCAGCACAGAAGACTGAGGCTGGAACAGAGAGGGCTGGGAGACCTCTGAGGCACCTGCAGAGGCAGAGGAGATAGTGACCCGCTCGAAACAACTCAATGGTCATTTATAGACACTGTCAGCTCAGCCTAGCATACGGTCTTACTAGAGGACCATTTGACAATACCTGTCAAGACTGCAAATCATCATACTCTCTGATCTGGCAATTTTATTTCCATAAATTTATCTTATGAAAATAATGGAACTCATGTATGGGTATATCTACAGAGATGAGTATTACGGTACTCATTTGAATAATGAGAAAATAAATATAATTAGAAGAGGTTACATTTTTAAGCAAGACACCCAAATGATGCAGTATTCTGCAGTTCCCCCCAAGAGGAAAATGTAGAACTCCCGTTTCTGAACACAATGGAGTAGTTGGCAGCCAAATAATGTTCCCTATGAAAATAACTTAGGAAAGCCAGAGAACCAGGTGATATTTCAAGTATAAGAGAGTTACAGAAGCAACAGCATCCAGAAGGGTTAAGGTTATGGAGAAGGGAGAACCATGGAGATGCAAAGTGACTATGTTCAGCCCCTTGCATTTGCTGATTCTGGCAAGAGGTTAAGGGTCCAAGTTTTCCCCAGGCAGAAGGGTTTTTACAGTAAGACAAGAGAAACTAGCAGAGGTTTTCATAGTCTCATAGGCTGGAGTGACAAAATCGAAGGCTTGAGAAGCCTCAAATATAAGTTCAGATTTCATGCCATTTTCTGAAGTCTGAAATTTTTACAAGATGGGAACCTTAAAAGCTAAGCCCAAACCTCTGTAAAGCAGAGCAGAACTTTGCAGAGTCACAGTGCTGAGAAGATAAAAGACCAGACTTCAACCTCTCTCAAAAGGAAAGACCCTGCTGTATACACCAGGATTTCAGTCGAAAACCCCAAAGGGGTATGCCCTAAGAACAAGGCAAGTGAGAAGTAGATGGAACTCTATTAAAACTGCTTCCTGTAGACTTCCAACTAATTATAGAAGGAATTCTGGGATTGGCCACCATTTGACAACCACCACAGTAATAATTGCTCAGGCAAGAAGCATCAATAGATGAGGAAGAGTTTTGGGCTTTTGGTTTGGTTTGTTTTTGGTATGTGCTTTGAAATCGTTAGCTTCATAGATTCTAAATATTCCTGCCCCAAAGTACTTGTTAACTACAGAGAGAAAAAAAAATAGTAATTTATAGTGGAGAAACTTGGCAGACACATTCTAACCACATGATCAAAATTAATATCAGCAGGAATGGGGCAAATAGTCATCCTGTACCTCCTGATATAATACGACCTCCTTTCTGTGGTATTCCTGTCAAAAATGCAAAACCTGAATCTAATCCTGAGGAAACATCCGACAAACCCAAGCTCAGAACCCAAGTTCTACAGAATAACTGGCCTGCACTCTTGTCATGAAAGGTGAAGACTAAAGGAACTGTTCCACATTAAAGGAGACAAAATAAAGAGATATGGTAACTAAATACAGTGTGATCCTAGACTGGATCCTGGACCACATTTTTTGTTGTTGTTCTAAAGAATACTGGAGAGAGAACTGGTGAAATTTGAGTTAAGATTGGTAGGTTAAGTCCCATATTAATGTCGGCGTCTTGATTTTTTTTAATTTAATGAGACTTTTTTTTTTAAGATTTTATTTATTTATTTGACAGAGATCACAAGTAGGCAGAGAGGCAGGCAGAGAGAGAGGTGGAGGCAGGCTTCCTGCGGAGCAGAGAGCCCGATGAGGGGCTCGATCCCAGGACCCTGGGATCATGACCTGAGCTGAAGGCAGAGGCTTAACCCACTGAGCCACCCAGGCGCCCCTAATGAGACTTTTTAAATTAACATTTAATGTGGTGTTTCACGGGTACAGGGGTTCTTGATTTTGATTAATGTACTAACTTTGTTACACTAAGACTGATGTCAGATATAATGAAAGCCAGAAGACAGTGAAAAGACATATTTAAAATTCTGGGGTGAAAAAAAAACCTGCCAACATAGTTTTTTGTTTGTTTGTTTGTTTGTTTGTTTGTTTGTTTTCCTAATGAAAACTGCCTCTAAAATAAAGGTATTCTCAGATAAAAGCTGAGAAAATTTGTCACTATGAGACTTTCACGAAAGGAATCCTAAAGGGTAATCTTCAGGCAAAAGAAAAGTGATCCTAGACGGAAATAAAGAAATGCATGAAGGAATGAAGAGCGCTAGCACAGGTAAATATGTGGTTAAATATAAGAAACAATGTCTGCACAAAGCACTACAAATGTCTTTAAAATATATATTGACTTAAAATGTCTTACCAGAACAACACAAAAGGTGGGAGGATACAAGTGAAGTTAAAGTACTCTAATATCCTCACCATACTGGAGACGTGATCAACATAATGTTATATTAGATCATGAAGTCAGAAATGCATATTTTAATCTGTAGGAGTAGCCACTAAAAGAATAATAAAAGAATGTGTAACTAGCAAGTTTTTTTTAAAGATTTTATTTATTAGCAAGTTTCTTTTAAGATTTTTAAAATTTATTTGACAGAGATCACAAGTAGGCAGAGAGAGAGGAAGGGAAGCAGGCTCCCCACTGAGCAGAGAGCCCGATGCAGGGCTCGATCCCAGGACCCTGAGATCATGACCTGAGCCGAAGGCAGAGGCTTTAACCCACTGAGCCACGCAGGCGCCCCTAATTAGCAAGTTTTTAGAGGAGGGAATGATATTTTTTAAAAGAATCCAAAAGAAGACAACAAGTGGAGAAAAAGGAAGAAGAAACAAACAATAGAGTAGATATAAACCCAAATATATTAGTAATTATGCTAAATATAAGTGGAATAAATTCTATGATTAAAAGACTTAGAATGGATCAGAATCTAACAACTATAACCTGCAAACCAAAGATACACCCTAAATACTAGGACATCAAAACATTGAAAGTAAAAATACTAATATAACTGGTATAGTTATACTATCAGACCAAGTAGACTTTAAGGCAAGAAATAGTATGAGAGATAAAGATGTACACTTAATGATATAAAGAGGTCATTCTACCATAAACCCAGCTATATCATATAATCATATTAAATGTAAGTGGTCTAAACACCTCAACTGAAAGTCTGATTAGATAAGAAAATAAGCCCAACTATATCCCATCACAAGAAACCCACTTAAAGACAAAAATATTTTAAAAGAGAAAAGATGGAAATGAGATACTATGCTACTATGATTTAAAAAAAAAAAACACTGAAGGAGCAGTTTCAAAAGAAGATAAAGCTGATTTCAGGACAAAGACTATTACTGGTGATAAAAACTTTTATTTCATAATTTTAAATAACTTAATTCAACAAAAGAATTTAACAATCCTAAACAGTCATTCACATAATGGAGTTTTAAAATAAAAGAAGCAAAAGTAATAGAACTGCAAAGAAAGGCAAACAGATCCACAATAAAAGCCAGAGATTTCAACACCCATATTTTAATATTTGATAGAAGTACACAGAAAGTCACTGGGAATAAAGATGACTTGAATAATACCATCAAACAACTTTTTTCTTTATCATCAACCGATTTACTAAATGCTATTTATAGAACAATCCACTCCAACAACTGCCAAACACACTTTCTTTTCAAATGTCCATGGAACTTTTATCAGTGTAGATCACATGCTGAGCCACAAAACAAGTCTTAATACATTTAAAAGGATTCAAGTCACACAAATAATGTCCTTGGACCATAATGGAATTAAATTATAAATCAGTAACAGAAAGATATTTGAAAAGTTTCCAAATGTTTGGAAAATAACATATCTCTAAATAACCCTTTCAAAAAAATGCTTCAAAACTCGATTGTACACTTTAAGTGAGTGAATTGTCTAACATGTGTACTTCACAGAAGTTGTTTCTAAAAACACCACATAGGGGCACCTGGGTGGCTCAGTGGGTTAAGCCGCTTAATCTTTTCCTCTCTCTGCCTACTTGTGATCTCTGTCTGTCAAATAAATAAATAAAATCTTTAAAAAAATAAAAAAATAAAAAATAAAAACACCACATAAGGATGGCACCTGGGTGGCTCGGTGGGTTAAGCCTCTGCCTTCAGCTCAGGTCTTGATCTCAGGGTCCTGGGATCAAGGCCCATGTCAGGCTCTCTGCTCAGCAGGGAGCCTACTTCCCCCCCTCTCTCTGCCTGCCTCTCTGCCTACTTGTGACCTCCCTCTCTGTCAAATAAATAAATAATAAAAATAAAAAATAAAAGCATAAGGACTGGAAAGGAAGAAATAACATTTTATTTGTAGACAACCTAGTAGTATTCATATTAAGTTTTTAAGTGTATAGACTATTAGAATCAATAAATGAGTTTAGTGAGGTCACTGGATATATGGTGAAGATAGATAAATTGTATTTCTACAATAGGTACAAGTGGACAGTGAAATTAATAAAATAATACCTGTGATAACATCAAAAACATCAGATACCTAGATAGAATCTAATAAAAATATGCAAGTTCTCTACATTGAAATCTACACATATTATTTAAAAAATTGTGAAAATGTAAATAAGTGGAGGGATACACTATGTGTGTGTATTGAAACATTCAGTATTTTAGTGGTCATTTCTTCCCAAACTGGTACACAGTGTCAAAACAGTTCCAATCAAGCCCCAGCGGGTCTTTTTGTGGAAAATGATGGCTTATCATTCTAAAATTTTTATGGAAGTATAGAGTTCTAGAATCTCTAGGGCAATCTTGAAAAACAGCAAAGCTGGAGGACTTAAACTACCAGGAATCAAACCTTTAAAGGACTGATGTTGTGCAAACGGTTGTGCTATTAGTGCAAGAACAGACAAGGGGTCAGTGGAACATGGGACGGAATCCAAAACACGTATAGAGTTTTATGACAAAGGGATACTGCAAGGCTATGGAAAAGGGATGGTCCTTTCCATCAATGGTGCTGGGTCAACTTGATATGCACAAGAAGTGAATTCTAACCTCTATTCTTCCTAGATTACAATGAAAAAGCAGTTTCAGCTGGATTGTATATCTAAATCTGAAAGGTAAACCAGTAAAGCTTAGAAGAAAATATAGAAGAATATCAGCATAAATCTGAGAAATCTTAGTAGGCAAAGATTTCTTAAATACAACGCCAAAAAAAAAAAGTCAGTTATAATGGAAAAACATTTATTCAAACAACATTAACATTGGGAGCCTCTGTTTATAAGAAGACACCATTAACAACAGTGAAAAGATCCACGGAACGGAGGATACTCACATATATAACTAACAGAGGAGTTCTATTTAGATTATATACAGAACTGCAAACCATTAACAAGAAGTCAAATAAACCAACAGAAAAACAAACAAAAATCCAAACAGGCCCTTCACAGAACAGGATGTCCTAAAGGTCAGTACACGTGAAAACTCGCTCACTCCCATTCTTTTTTTTTTTTTTTTTTTTTTTTTGTCAGAGAGAGGGAGAAAGCAAGCACAGGTAGACAGAGTGGCAGGCAGAGGCAGAGGGAGAAGCAGGCTCCCTGCCAAGCAAGGAGCCTGACGCGGGACTCGATCCCAGGATGCCGGGATCATGACCTGAGCCGAAGGCAGCCGCTTAACCCACTGAGCCACCCAGGCGTCCCTCACTCCCATTCTTCATCAGGGAGACAGAAATTAAGACTCCAATGAGATCAGACACCTGAATGGCTAAAACGAAACGTTCATTTTGTCAAAGATGTGTAGCAATCAGAATTCTCTTCCATAGGTATGTGTCTGTCTCGGTTCTTATCCCCAAATCTGAAGGAAATTTTAAAACCATTAATAGCAGTAGTGTGTGGGTTTGGAATCGTGGGAGGTCTTACACCTCTTAATATTTCTACCCGTTTAATTGTATTTTTCCGGCTTTACTATTACAGTCAGAAATGAAGTTTCACATTTGGAAAAGAACAAGCCCTCTCTCCCACCACACTCGACGACCACAACTAGTATGTAATAGGATCTCCTGGCCTTCATCTCTCCCGACCTTCCTGCAGCACTGACCTTGACCACTCCTGTGCCAAAGCCTTGTCTGCCCTCAGCACCCGCACCTTGCCCTTCTCTTCTCCCCTCCCATCAGTCCTTCCAGTGCCTCTGACTTAGTCCCTCCCATCTTTCCCTCCCCTTCTCTCCTGGCTCCTGTACAGCGCACCTGGGGTAGCTCTTCCCTGAGGACTCAGTTTCTCTCTGCTCTCCTTTCCACAATTAGTGCGAGGAAGATTCCCCACTGCCTCCATTCCCCGACCTCGGAGTTTCCTCAGCCTGCCGACGAGTCTCCATCTCCAGGTTCTGCCAATCCTGTCACCCAGCTCTCCTCCCTTCCACCAAAGCCTCCCCAGCCTGGGTCACCTCCTGCCTCCGGGATGGCCCCCAGCCTCCCACTGCTCCTGCTGATGCCTCTGTCCTGCCCCAGCCCATCCTCCTGCCAGGAACTCCGCCACTGCCACCAGATCCACAGCAGCTCCCAGGTCAGCTCCCCATCTGCTAGCTGTGTGACCATGGACACCTTAGGTAAGCCTCAGAGTCACTGAAAAGTGAGGGTTGTAGAAGCTACCCCACAGAATCATCATAAAGATTAAATGAGATAGTCTAGCACACAAGGACTGCTTAATCAATGTCACGAATTTCTACTATTTCTGTTCAGCTCCTTTGGACAGCACCCCACAAGGGATCCGTCCCCCAAGTACCGGTCCAGACCCTCTCATCCCTCAACTGCCCTTCCCAAGGCCCTCTGTCCCCCAGCCACCCCCTCAACCCCCCACCTTCTCGGAGCCCTCTTGTCACTCAGGCCTCGGTTCACCACAGGCGCTGGGAGTGTGGGGGTCCACGGGGCTGTGCACCAGCCGCCCTCCCACCCACAACCCACTCCTTCTAAGCTCCGAAACCAGGGTCTGTCCCTTGGGCAGCCCTCCACCCCTCTAAAACGGAGAGAGAGACCTAAGTAGGCTCTGGGACAGGGAGAAGGGGCGACCTCACCGGAGACAGAGAGCAGTAGCCAGACACACAGGGCGCAGCCCCGCCAGGACGCGGGTTCCCTGCTCGAAGCCATCTCCGTAACCGCCCTGGGTCTGAATGGAGCTTGCAGCGCCTCTCAGACCGAGCGCTCCCTGAGGCCCCAGAGCCGGGGCTTGGGGTCTGCTTCCTCCCTAGGTCTGGAGGGTGGGGGGCAGACACAGGCGCAGCGCAATTGCGGGCCAACCCCAATATCCGGGTCTCTCGGAAAGCCCCTGGGGGCGTGGGGGTGGGGCATCTGAGTGTTAGGTCGAAGCTTAGAAGATTACTCGGTTTGCAAGAAACAGAAACCCAGATACAACTGGTTTAAGCAAAGGAGATGGCCCCTAAAACACGTCTTGAGGACATCCCAGCTTCAGGAATGGCTGGATCCGCAGGCCTGGACGTGATGTCAAAAACACATTTTCCTTCTCTCCTTTCCTTCTCTTGGTTCTGCATCCATCTTTCGGTCTGGTTCTCAGGCAGGCTCTCCACTTGTGGTGGACAGATGCCCACCAGCACCCAAGGCTCCTGTTGGTCTGCATAGCCACTCCAGGAAAAAGGAAAATTCTCCTTCCTATTACTTAGAGCCCAGGTCCAAGGCTGATACTGGTTGACCTAGCCTGGTTCATGCATTTGCTCAAGCCAATCACTGTGATCAGTGGGCTGGCCGGGCTCTCTGGAAGCTGGGGCTGGGGGGCGGGGTGCAATTTCAGCTGATCTTTTGAGGACTTCAGGTCATAAGACGGTGGTTCTCCAAGGAAAGCTGGATGCAATTCCCAGAGGGTCCTGGGTAGGCATTTACCTGTCCAAAGGGGTTTATGTAGCAAAGAAGGAGGGACCACTCCTGCCCAAGAGAGGCCCCTCTGCAGGCCCCTTCCTGCTTCTCAGTTCACTAGCCATGTCCCAACACCCACAAACAAAGCCTCCACCTCATTGTGTTGCTCTCTAAAGGGCACCTCTGCTTTCTGATGTGTCTTAAGAAGTGGGGAGCTGCTTCTCCTGTGGCTCAGGGAGAAAAGGCCTGATGTCCTGCTCACCAGAGCCCTGAGGCACACTTCCCTCCCAGAGACCAAGAACTCATGGCTCTGTGATCACAGTCAAGATAACAGTGGAGTTGGTCACTCCCTCATCTTGCTTTCGGGTTGGGTTCCTGGGTGGATGTAGCACCGCCCGCTGTAAAGTACTTAGCACACACCTGGTTGAAACACCTGCTGAATGAGGTAAGTTGTATTTGCCAAGATGGCGGCCACAATGCATCTCACCCTACACACCCTTCCTTTTTTCCACTGTAGTACTTGTTTTGTAAGTTGAGATATAATTGACACACAGTAAACTCCATGTATCAAAAGTGTACAGTTTGGTAAATTTTGTCATGTATATGCCTGTGAAATCATCCCCACTATCAAGATATTGCACATATCCATCAACCCTGAAAGTTTCCTCCTGCAAACTTTGGTGTGCTTTCTGTCATCACAGGTTTGTTTCTATTCTTTAGGTTTTTATATAAATTGAATCACACTGTTCCTGCACTGTTTTGTCTGGCTCCTTTCACTCAACCTAATAACTTGGAGAGCCGTCCACGCTGTTGCATGTATCACTGGTTCATTTTTATTGATGAATTGTATGTCACTGTATACCAAATTTACTTCTCTGTTCACTTGTTGATGGACATTTGGGTTGTTTCTCATTTTTGCTAGTTCAAATAAAGCTGCTGTGAACATACACTTTCCTTCCCCTCGGGCGGTTACCTCCGAGTTGCATGGCTGGGTCATATGGTAAGTGGATATTTCACTTCCGAAGAAACTGCCCAGCCCTTTTGCAAAATGGCTGTGTGAGAGCATCCTTGACAACACTGGGTATATTCAGTCTTTTTGTTTAGAGATCCTGGTAGGGGTGGTTTTAATTTGCATTATCGAACAACTAATGATGTGCTTGGGCTGCCATGTTGGGGGAAAGCCAAGCAACAGCAAGCAGAGCCTATGTGCAGGGGTTCAGCTGATGACTGGCCGCCGCTGGGGACCTGTAAGTAACCCTCAGATGCTTCCAGCCCCTAGCCTTCAGGCCACTCCCATGGGTGCCCCATGGAGCAGAAACAAGCTGACCCCACCAAGCCTGGCTCAAATGACAGATTCCTGAGTAAAACAGATGACTGGTGTCTTAAATCCCTGTTGGGGAGGTGTGCCGTGGTAGATAGCCAAAACAGTGAGTCCACTGGGTGTGATGCTCGTATCACCACTGACCTAGATCTGTTCATCTACCCATGGGTTTGTATTTGTCTTTTCAACAAACTCGCAGCTCCTACAAGACAGACATCAACGCTTCGTTTCTGGAATCCAACCCCTGAGCCTGGCTTCTGACTTTCATTGCTTCTCCAGCCGGGTCTCTGCCTTCGATCCTCGGACCCGTCACCTTCTCTTAGCCACCTCTCTGAAGAGCCAGGGTAGAGGTGTGGAAGAGCTTAGGCTCTCCCGTGGGGCTGCCTGGATTTGAATCCTGTCTCTGTGATTTCTAAACTGTAAGAAGTTAACCAATTCTTTAAACTCTCTGAGGCTGAATTTCATCTTCTACAAAATGGGAACTGCAGCTACTCCCCTGAGAGTAGTTATGAGTCTAGAACGATCTGTGTAAAGAACTTAGCAAACTTAGCCTGGTCCCTGCTGCTGTTATTTTTACTAGTGCTGTCTGAGGACTGTCTGGATATAAACATACCCTCCTCTTGTTCCCTCCCAGGGGGCTTGTCTGCCCAGCTCCTGGGGGAACAGCCTCTAGCATGTGGTAGGAGGAGTCGATTGTTCTAGATGTTTTACAGACATGAAACCACTTGGGTTTGTTTGTTTTTTTTTAATCTGGATTCTCTCCTTAGAGGTAATGTATTGCCAGGCAAAATGTTCCGCCCCTCTGAGCCAGCTTCCTGTCCCCCGAAATGGGGGTAACGCTGTCTCCCAAACAGGGGTGAATGTAGGGATATGTTATAAGACACCACCCTGACACAGGTCCCTGATAAATTAAAACAAGTTAACACTAGTAACATTTAACTACTTAACACTAGTTAACACTAGTAACATTTACCCTGTGATACAGCAGGTAACTAATTATTTTGGAAGGGAAACAAGGGTGGGGTCTGACTTGTTAATGTATATTTTCTGGAGCGTTTAAATTTTTGGATGACCTATATTGTTTTAAAAATTAAATCTATATTTTAATAACAATAAATTTATTAATCAAAATTTAAACCTGATACACTGTGTGCCACATAAATACTTTTATTGCAATTTATAGGTGAAGAAACTGAGTCACAGCCAGTCACAGCCAGCCGAAGCCAAAACAGGATGAGAGCCCACGTCTGCCTGATTCCAGAGCCCGTGGCCTTCCCTTGCACCTACCGTCTCCTTTCTGGGTAAGTAGCGCTTTGGTGGTCAGGCGACATAATGGCTGGGAGTAGCTTCCTGGTGAGAAGCTGGCCCATGCCTGATCCCCCCTGGGCTTCTGAAGATGGGGCATCTAGCCAGGCAGTGTTCCAGCGAGGAGTCCTAGCCGCCTCGCCTTCCCATGTTTGCTCCTTGGTTCCCCATCCCCTGGACAGCAGTCATGTCTAGGACTGAGCTGGCTGTTTCCGAGGTGCCGACAACTACCCACCACCCCCTCTCTCCCAGGTTCCGTAACTCAGGGTCTCGCATGAGCAGTGGCCCCATCCCCAGAACCCAAATGGGGGCATCCATAGGGTTGGGGAAGTTTGGGAGGGCTTTAGCAACCCCTTAATCTCCATCCACCCTTTCCCCCTAAATAATGAAACAGCTTCACGATAAGTCCTCGAACCCCCGTTCCTGACACTCTTCACTCATTTCTACCAGACATACCACATATGACCGTGGCCACTGGTGAGAGCTCAGTTTTCTGACTATGTCTCTGCTATAGCCTGCCTCCTGTTGGCCCTACAGAAATTCAAACCAAGTATTCCAGAAACAGCTACCAGAAACAACTGCATTTTTTTAAAAGATTTTATTTATTTATTTGACAGACAGAGATCACAAGTAGGCAGAGAGGCAGGCAGAGAAAGGAGGAAGCAGGCTCCCTGCTGAGCAGAGAGCCCGATGTGGGGCTCGATCCCAGGACCCTGAGATCATGACCTGAGCCGAAGGCAGAGGCTTTAACCCACTGAGCCACCCAGGCGCCCCACAACTGCATTTTTTATTTTTTTTTATTTTTTTTAAATTTTTTTTTAAAGATTCTATTTATTTATTTGAGAGAGAGACAGTGAGAGAGATCATGAGCGAGGAGAAGGTCAGAGAGAGAAGCAGACTCCCCGTGGAGCCGGGAGCCCGATGCGGGACTCGATCCTGGGACTCCGGGATCACGACCTGAGCCGAAGGCAGTCGTCCAACCAACTGAGCCACCCAGGCGTCCCACAACTGCATTTTTAAAAAAGATTTTATTTTTTTGACAGACAGAGGTCACAAGGAGGCAGAGAGGCAGGCAGGGGGCAGGGGAAGCAGGCTCCCCGCTGAGCAGAGAGGCTGACATGCGGGGCTCAATCCCAGGACCCTGAGATCATGACCCGAGCTGAAGGCAGAGGCTTTAACCCACTAAGCCACCCAGACACCCCGACAGTTACATTTAAAAAAAAAATTACATAGCTGTGGGGCGGGGGTGGGCTTGGCCCCATCATTTTGCACTTGGGGAAACTGAATGGGGACAGGCAAAGACCTGCCTCCGGACAGTAGTGGCCCAGGCTCTCCCAACTCCCAGTCACCCACCAGGGCCCTTCTACCTGAAGGCCCTGCCCCTTGCAGGGAACTGGAAAACAAACAACGACAACAAAAATAACACTCTACCTCCAGGGCTTATGAATGTCCCTGCTAGAGAGGAGAAGATGGAGTGAGGGTTAGGGTTAGAGTTAGGGTTATCTGGCAATCTGGTTAGCACCAGATTCATATCAAAAATGAGGGAAGCCTAAATAAAATCTTTAATAATAAAAAAAAAAAAGAGGGAAGCCATGGTTATTCCATAACAAGGCCCTCTCGAGGCCAACAGGCAGACGTCCGTGGGCCTTGGGCACTGCGTGTGTGTGTGGAGTGAGGGCAGGGAGAATATTATGGCCGCATTTTTTGAGTCTTTCTGAAAAGGTTAGGTCTAGTCACTTAGCTGTGCATGGTAAGAGACTTAGGAAACAATGAAAGAAAGAGCCGTCCTAACTCTGATGTAGGAGTTTCTCAACGTGGGGCATCAGCTTGTCTGGTGAGAGCAGCTATCCTCAAAGGGAAGATGAAACAGATTTTGCTCAATGACACACTATGGACATAACTGTTCAAGTGTCTCAAAGTGCTCAGAGGAGCACCAGGGACACGGATAAAATTACCTTTAAAGGGAATAGAAGATTCTGAGACAGGACCAGTGTCAGGTGTGAAACAGGAAACCCACAGACCGGAGCTGTTCTAGCTGATCCTTCCGCAGATAAAACCGAGTGGCTTAACGCCCTGATCTTGGGCAGCCATTAGAGCTTCAGCCCAAACCCCACGAGGAAGAAAAGCAGTTTTCATTTTTTAAACAGAGAAACTTAAAAAACATTGCTTTAACAAAAAAAGCACACATACATTATGTCCCCAAGAATTGTATAAAAAAAGAAATGGTAAACATAAAGTTTTCATTGTGAGTAAATGTACCCCCACCCACCCCCAACAAGCCACCTTTAAATAAACATTGAACTCTGGTTAATGACATGAAAGCCGAGCTTCCCTAATGGAGGAGAAGGTTCCTCACAAATGGATTTTCCAGCAAATGACAGTTATACACTTTGGACAAAATACAGAACACAGTGACTTGAGAGCTCTGAAGAGTGAAACAAAGCAGGAAATTTTTAGAGGGGAGTCAAAACTCGGAGCAGCAGCCTGAAACATCCAGTGCTGAACCTCCAAGAGTAAAACCCACCCAGTTCTTTCGCAGAAGGACCCCGGCTGCTAGAGAGTGAGGAGGAGCCTGAGAAAGGATTGGTCAGAGAAGGAGGATGCCTAATTCCAGTGAAAACTCACCCAAATCTGGCTGACCTCAGAAATGTGCATGGTGGGGGTGCCAGTGATTCCAGACTTGCCAGCCCACATCAACTGGGTAGCCAAGACACAGGCGCTTCCAGGTGTCCATGAGAGGTAGGAACATTGGAATCTGTATATAACGCTGATGACAATTTTTTTTTAAAAAGTACACTTTGGGAAAGAGTTGGGCAGACTCTTAACGAGTGAAATATATATTTATATGAGCCCCAGAAATTTTACTCCTAGTTATCTGTCTGGGAGAGACAGACACGCACGTCCATACAAAGACTTGGTCACAAGTGAGCACAGCACCATTCATAACAGCCCCAAACTGGAAACAACCCACGTGTCCCTTGAATGTTGAACGGATAAACTGTATATGGCCATAAAATAGAATACGTTTCAGCCTTAAAAGGGACTGAACTTCTGTTCCTTTATTGAGTTGTCACTGACAGTCATGGAACAAATTTGTGACTTGTGCTACAACACGGATGAACTCCAAATGCCTTCAGCGAAATGAGGGAAGTCACACAAAACGCCGTACGTTGTGTGATTTCGTTGGTAGGAAATGACTACAAACGCAAATCTCTAGAGGCAGAAGGCAGACCCATCAGTGCTTGTCTGGGATGGGGCTGGGGCCTGACTGACTAGAAACGTCCATGAGAGAAGGTTACAGGTGATAAGGACATTCTGAACCCAGATTGCGGTGATAAGTTGCACAAATGTATAAATCGGCTGAAAATCATCCCACAGTACATATACAATGGATGAAACTCCTGGCATGTAAAATAGATCCCCATGAAGCTGTTTTAAAAATGACAAACGGTAGGAAACACCAACTCCTTTTGTGAGTCCGGCATTACATGGACACCAGAAGCAGACAGAGATAACACAAGAAAAACATGTAGGGTGAAGAGCACCTATGTCTCCATTTACTTTGAAATGTACCAAAACCAAGACAGATGAATGAATGGGTGCAGGGATGGCCAGACGAATAAAGAGGTGACAAAGGTTGTTCAGTAAAATGGGAGGTTCTAGCATTAGGTATTTGGGGGTTCGCTGCAAAATTCTTCCAACTTTGCAGCGCCTTTGAAATCTTGAATAATAAAACAGAGAACGGGAATGAAGTCATAGCACGTGACACGGCTCAGAGGTGAGTATTTTTTATGAAGTCAAAGAATGTAAACAGCATTGATTTCATCCAGAAAAGAGGAGAAAATATTTAAAAACTGGGAGGCAGGGCACCTGGGTAGTTCAGTCTGTTGGGATACGACTCTTAATTTTGGCTCAGGTCATGGTCTCGAGGTCATGAGTCGAGCCCTGCATCAGGCTCCACATTCAGCAGGAAGTCTGCTGGAGATGCTCGCTTCCTTTCTCTCTGCCCTTCTGGTTCATGCTCTTTCTCTTTAAAACAAGAAAGGAAGGAAGGAAGGAAAGGAAGGAAGGAAGGGAGGGAGGGAGGGAGGAAGGGAGAGTGGGTGGGAGGGAGGAAGGAAAAGAGAAAAGAAGTCTTAAAAAAAAAAAAAGAGTAGTTCACGGAGCTCGAACAATTTTGCTGTACTACCAGGCACATCCTGGAATAAATGTACATCTAGTACAGGTCCTTAGTAAACTGGTTGGTCATGATAAGCTCAGTTCAAAGGCATTAGCCCCAGTGGCACTTGGAGACTGGAGCCCAGCTTTTTCATAAGCATCTGCCTCACAGGTCCTTTGCTCCTGGAGCTTCATGACTCTGTTTCCCTTTGGGTCACTGAGTGTCACTCATTCCCCACAGTCTCCCACCCATTAAGGTGCCTGGCCACGCAGCTCACCTTGCAAGAGTAAAAAAACAAACAAACAAAAAAAAACTGTCGCGCTCTCAAAATTGTGTTCTGAGCCAAGTATTTTATCAACATTATTTGAGTCTTGCCAAAAAAAAAAAAAAAAAAAAAAGAAGGAAGGAAGGAAAGGTGTCATTGCTAATTTTCCAAGCAAGTAGACAGAGGCTATGATGATTAGTTTTACGTGTCAACTTGGCTAGGCCAGGGTGCCCAGATATTTGGTCAAGCACTAGTCTGGATATTCTTGGGCAAGTGTTCTCTAGATCTGACTAACACCGAAACTCATAGACTGATTAAAGCAGGTCACCTCCTCTAACGTGGGTGGGGCCCATGCACTCACTTCAAGGTCTTAAGAAAAGGACTAAGATCTCCAGAGGAAAAAGGAATTCTGGCCCCAGACTCCCCTCAAACTCAAGACCTCGACATCAATGATTCCTGGGGTCTCCACCCTGCCTGCCTGTCCTGCTATTTCAGACTTGCCAGCCGCCAAATCCTCCAGATGAATCTCTCTATAGAGACGCACATGCTACATACCCCCCCCTTCTCTATAGTCTGTACTGGTGATGACTAGAGAGGAGGCTCAGGGAAGGTAACGTCCCAGGGTCACACACCAAGGGGGAGGCAGTGCGGGCATTTGGACCCAGGCCAGGTCAGCTCCAAAGTCATGTTCTTAACCAAACAGGACAATGGCCCTTTCACCCTGGACTCTGGGGAATAAGTCAGATGATGCCCCAGAGCCAAGTGTTTGAGGTCCCTAACTCCACAGACCCCTCCAGGGGAGGACAGCAAGACAGAAAGGGCACATCCCTCTTTTCAAGGCTGCACAAAGGAGCCTCTCCTCAGCCCCTCCTGAGTCACGGGGGCCACATCGGTATTCCCTCTCAGGGGGAGATTTGATTGATCTGATTTGGGTTTCTGGTTCACCCTGAGGACCTGCACTCCAGATGCAGGACTGGAAGGCCCCAGGGAAACCTCAATTCGTGTGTCACAGCGCCACCTACTGGTCAGATTGAGGGGCAGCTGCAGTAACCAAATGCCCTCTGCTCCCAGAGGCCAAGACATTATCCCATTTTACAGATCGGCAAAAGGAGCTTTTGCTCGAAACTTTGCCTCATTTGCTCAACCATGTGTTAGCTGCCAGGCACGATACTAGATGCTGGGGGTTCAGAGAAACCGGTCCTTCTTGGAGAGAGTGACAGAAGGCGTAGGGGGAACTACCAGGAAAGACAGAGGTGGAAAGAGTAGAGGTGACACGTCAAAGGGAGGCCGGTTGTCGTGGGAAGGAAAGGCTGCACCACCATCGTGGTGATGGTGGGAGAAGGTTTTGAAATTCTGGAGGGGTCTGCCAGGCTGACATGAGGGGCCTCGGTGGCATCATTTGATTCTCAATTCAGAACTCTTCCCCAAGGACAGAAGGACAGGTGCCAGGAAGGGCACCGTAGTGAGCAAAATATGGGCTTGGTGGAGTGTGATTTGAACGGAGGGTGGGGGATAGGATCAGTCGCACACAGGGGCAAATAGGCCTTGATCCGGGGCCCCTGAGACACACAGTTGGCCTCAGAGCTGCCTGGGGCAGCTCTGCCAGGCCCACCACGAAAACAGAGCTCTGCCACGCTAAGGAGTCTGAGCACAGTCTTCCCAGCAACGGGGAGTCCCGAGGAGCTGCTAAGTTACGCCAGGGAGTAAAATGATCTCACGTGCTTGGGAAGGACAGCCCTGCAGAGTGAGGACGGGGGGAACACGAGAAGCAGGGACATCGTTTTAGGGATGATGATTGCAGCAAGCTTGCCAACGATCCAGGAAGAAGCCGGTGGGGGCGGGGGGGACAGGTGCAAAGTGACCTCGGGCACAGAGCTCAGGGCCTCTATAAATCCCGCCTCGCCCGGGAAGAGCCGAGAGCCTGCGGGTCCAGAGCGGCTTTGAGCCTCGACCCACCCGGGGACAGAAATGGGAACGCGCCTGGAGGGCAGAGCGAAGCTCCGCGCTCCCCACAGCACCGCAGGGCGAGCGCCCCACCGCGGACCTCCCGGGATCCACCTGCAGAGGTCAACCCGCTGGGCTGCCGGAGGTCAAGACCACCCGGACCACCGCAGGCGGACCCCCAGAGATCAGGGGCGGGGCCTCGCAAGACCCAAACAGGCACCATGTGGCAGGGGCGGGGCCGGCACCGCGGGGCGGGGGGGGAACGACACGGCGCGCGCTTGCGCGGGAGCGATCTCGCGCCGGCGTACCCTTGTGGGGGCCGTAAAGCGCGGAAGGTCGCGGTCCCCGGCGTTCCCCGGAACTTTTTACTCCCTCTGCTCCGCCTCTTTCCCTTCCCCGTTCCCCGCGTTCTGGTGCCGGGACCGCTCGCAACTGTTGTGGCTGCTGTCCCGCTGCCGCCGGGGTGGTGCTGACCGCGGAGCGCTCGGAGGCCCGTGAGGTAAGGAAACCGCTGCAGGGTCGCTCTGGCCTCCCTTCGCACGTCTCAGTGCCCCCTTCCGCTCGGCTCTCCCTCGGGGCTGGTCCCGGCCGCCCTGCGTTTCGTGTCGCTTGCGCCGGGTGGCCTCAGGCCTCTGGCGGCCCGGGCCGAGAGGGATTCGCCTCATCTCTCCCAGCATGTCCGCCGCTGTGCCCCGTTCGGCCGAGGTGGCCCGGGTCTCGGGGACTAGTGTCCCGCTGCCCCGGGGCCTACGCAGCGGCCCCTCAGGGGGCGTCCGCCGCCTCAGCCCGACGTCCAGAGCGTCGGCGGTGACCGCGCTTCGCGCTCCCGGCCTCGGGCTTGCAAGCCCCTAGCGCGGAGGAGGCCGGGCTCGCCGGTCTTCGTCCGCTGCGGGCGCAGTTGCTTTCCCGCCTGGAGACCTGCTGCGGTCCGGTCCGCCTGCGCCTCACTAACTTGCAGGACTGCTGCAGAGTGCGGCAGCCAAGTTACCGGGGAGAGTGTAGGCCCGGGGCGGTGAGCCGTCTTCGTGATGCGTGAGCACTCGGCACCGATGTGAAGGACACTGGGGTGGGATGGGGGCATCTTCAGGTGTCCTTTGTCGGTGTGTGTGAGCGTGACGTACGGGGCTGCGGAGGGAAGGAGGTGGGGAGCCGCGCCCCAGGGCACACCTGGCCGGCGCTGGCGGTTCGTATTGATTTCTTTCTTTTTTTTTTTTTTAATTTTATTTATTTATTTGACAGAGATCACAAGCAGGCAGAGAGGCAGGCAGAGAGAGAGGAGGAAGCAGGCTCCCCGCTGAGCAGAGAGCCTGATGCGGGGCTTGATCCCAGAACCCTGGGATCATGATTGAGCCGAAGGCAGAGGCTTTAACCCACTGAGCCACCCAGTCGCCCCTCTAATTGATTTCTTAAACTTGTCTGATCACCTGGTGGCACTTGTTGAGAATTACACATCCAGGACCGGCAGGGTCCGACTCTTCAGAGGCGGAGCCTGGGAGAGAAATGTCCTGGGGGGGGCTCTAGTGCTGAGGCAGGTGTGGGACCCGCTGTTAACCGCTCTCCGGTCACCAGTCTTCGTTGTCCCCAGCGGCCCGTTTGTACACACGCTGTGACCGTACGGAGGAACGACTCAGAGGGACTTGGAGCTGCCCTCTTGCTCCTGTTGGTGTAAGCAGATGTGGGCATACCTAGGCCCGATATTGAGTTTGCTTGGCAGATAATTTTTCTTCTTAGCAAAAGGCTTTGTAGGGTCATCTTAGTTTTTTAAAAATATAATGTGTTTTGGGCGCCTGACTTGTTTAGTGTGAAGAGCATGTGAGTCCCGAATGGGGTGTGGAGAGTACTTAAATAAAACTTAAGATATGTATTTTTAGACACACACACAGACACACACATTTTAAATCCGGTTATCGCTTTTCTTTCCTTGTTTTTGACACCTTCGGTTTCTTGTCTAGTGACTTTCCCCTCTCTGCTGTCAAGCTTGGCCTTGGTTTTGCTGCCAAACCTACTTGGATACTCTGGCACCTGCCTTTCTTTGTTTGCATCTATTTTAAATCCTTTTTGGTTCTTGTTTGCCTCCACCACTCACTGATTCTTTGAAGGTCATGATGTATACAAGGTCACAAATCCTCTACTTGGTTCTCATCACCCTAGGCTTCCCCCCCACCATCAGTCTAGGTTTCTAACATTGTTTATTTCATCTTAAACCTCATCTGTTAATACGTGTCTTCTGTGACATTTGCAATTCCTTTTATCCTGCCAAGGGATGTGTCTTGTGGTTCTGTCTTCACAGCTACTGCTTCCTTACTCGTCTGAGGTTGTTTGATGGGTAGCAGGGAGTAAAGATTCTAGGGCAGACTCTGTGGTGCCATCCCGACAGGGTCTTACTCTTGGCTCTGCCACTACTGGCATTAGAGAAGCTTGGACGAGTTCCTTCCCTGTGCCTCAGGTTCCCCAAGCAGTAAAAAAGTTTTAGTGCCTTACAGGGTTGTGAGTTTTAAGTCAGTTGTATACCTAAGGCAGCATCTGGTAGATTGCAACTGCCTTTGAAAATATTCCCGTGGCATCTGGGTGGCTCAGTGGGTTAAAGCCTCTGCCTTCGGCTTGGGTCATGATCCCAGGGTCCTGGGATTGAGCCCCGCGTCGGGCTCTCTGCTGAGTGGAGAGCCTGCTTCCCTTCCTCTCTCTGCCTGCCTCTCTGCCTAATTGTGATCTCTGTCTGTCAAATAAATAAAATCTTAAAAAAAAAAATTCCCATTTTCTTTTTAAAAATTCTTTCACGTGATTTGGATATCCCCTGAAGTCTGAGAGCCTAGGCTTGAGGTCTCTGAGTCCTCATTGAACTCCCCTCCTCCCACCCCCCGGTGTGTTCTCTCTTCTCATCCATTCAGCGACTTATATTTCCTAGGTGCCTACGCTGAATGCTGGGAAAAGCATGATCAAGTTATATCATTGGTCCCAGATCCCAGAGAGCTCCATGGTTATATGATACTAAAAAGTATCTTTACTAAGTGCTTCTTAGGTCCAGTGGCCGTGTTTTTCCTTCTAGTCTGATTGGGTGTTTGTAGCAGCTGTGTGAGGCAGGTCGTCCTTGCTCGCCTCGTGGTTGAGGAGCCCAAAGCTCGGGGATGGAATAAATTGCTGCAAGTGGTAGAGCTAATGAGAGGTGGGCGGAGGCTTTCAAACCCCCAGCTGTCTGCCTCTCTGTAAAGCCTACATTCTCAGCTGGGCTGTTGTGCTGTTTCCCTGATTGACGAACACGGTCCAGGAAGCTCTGTGCTGGGAGAAGCCCAGGGTGCGATGGGAGAACACACAAGGGCCACCTGACCCAGTGCTGGGGGAGAGGTCTAATAAGATTTCAGGCTGAGAGCCTTGGTGGTTACCTTTGTTTGGGGGGTGGCGGGAGAGTGGCGGGAGCTATACTGTTTGGTTAGAGGAACAGTGTGCCCGGATCCCGGGGCAGAATCCTGTCCTGTTTGAGGAATTAGTTACAGAAGGTTCAGCCTGGCTCCAGAGAGAGCAGAGATAAGAAATGAGCCGGACAGTGAAGGGTCCTGCACTTCCTGCGAAGGAGATTGCCTTCTCCTGAGGGCATCAGAAAGTCACTGAAGAGTTTTAAGCAGGGGCGTGAAACAAGATTTTCATTTGAGAAGACTGGCTCAGAGTCCTGTGTCAGGATTGTGGGGTGTGGGGAGAACGGGGTGCGGAAGCCCCGTCAGGAAGCTTCTGCGGTAATCTGAGCATGGGTGGCCGTCTGTACTCAGGTAGCCGCGGCAGCGGGGGTGGGAGAAGTCGGTCCACCTGAGGGAAATGAAGCTGTGGAATCCTTAGTCCTTGCAGGTTGGCTGCATAGAGGAGCCAAGAGAGGAGGAGCCCGGGGTAACGCCAGGGTTCTCGTATATGGAGTCCCACTGGGGACACAGAAATGGAGAAGATTTGGAGATTGAGGAGGATGGGTTTCCCTGTTGGATGTGCCCATTTTGACCTCTGGGAGCCCAAGCGGACTTGCTGTTGTTCCCTTGGAGGTGCAGACGCAAATGTTGGGGCCGCTGTGGGTTGGGCCCTCGGTCACGGTAGGCAGTGAAATCCCCCGGAGAGTAGGGGACCGAGGGGAGTAGCTGGTCCCAGAGCGCCGTGAGGGACATGGACTCGGAAAGATGGACAGGGCAGAGCAGCCAGCAAAGACGTGGCCAGGGTAGTAGGAGTCAGGATTAAACCAGGAAAGAGGGTGTGAGTAGAGGGAGCGATGGGCGACATGCGGGGCTTGAAGAGGACCTTATGAGGAGGGGGCCGGTGTCTCCAGAAGTTGGCAACATGAGCCTTCTTGGTGAGAGCAGCATTCCTAGCTCGGGGGGACAGAAGCCCAACGGCTTTGGGTTCGGGACAGAGGAAATGGGGGGGAAAGGGGCAGATCATACAGGAAGCCCTTTCCTGAAGGTATTTTTCAAGTGAAAAGACAGGTTGTGAGTTCACAGTAAGAGTCACTTCTGGCTCGGGACACCTGGGTGGCTCAGCTAAGTGGCTGCCTTTGGCTCAGGTCAGGTCATGTCCAGGGTTCTGGGACCCAGTCCCACATTGGGACCTTTGCAAGGCGGGGAGCCTACTTCTTCCTCTGCCTGCCACTCCCCCTGCCTGTGCACGCTCTCTCTCTCTCTGATAAATAGATAAATAAAATCTTCAGAAAAAAGAGTCACCTCTGGCTTGACCGCCGGCAGACCGTGCAATCACTAAGGGACAAGGGAAGGAGGACACAGTCAGGCGGCGGCACTCGGGTGCAGAGCAGGGCAGCACACGGGACTGCTTATTTCGTATGATGGGAAATCGTTGTTTTAAATTTTATTCATTTATTTGAGAGAGAGACTGCATGCATGTGCACATGTGCCTGTGAGTGGGGAAAGGGGCAGAGGGAGAGAGAATCCCGATACGGGGCTCGATCCCCTGACACTGAGACCATGACCTGGGCTGAAGCCAAGAGTCCGACACTCAACCAACTGAGCCACCCAGGCACCCTGATGGGGAATCATAATTGCCTTCTATGTTTGTGTTTTCCGCCAAGACCATATTTTTTATCAGTTAGCATTTTTAAAATGAAAAATCGCTACTCAAAGACATTTATGGAGGCTATGTTTTGTTTCTTCAGTGGGTTGTGGGAGGACTTGAGCATGTGAAAATGCTGAGGGTCAGGAGGGCACTGAAGGCACTGGAGGAGGAGTTGGGTTCACGGACCTGGGTTCCCGGGGAGGAGGGGGAGGGCTCCGGGGCTCTTGCGGGCGATGAACTTCGGACCCTCTGAGGGAAGGAGAGATGGTTGCAGATGCCAGTGGGATTATCGGTGGAGTTTCAGGGGAGGAGATGAGCCGGGTTACCTGCTTTGAAGGAAGAAAGAGAAGAGGTGGGGTCCGAGGTCTGGAGAGGTTCAGAAGCACAGAAGTTGGTGCTGTGGCCGTGAGGTTGCAGGAAGAAGCTTCTCTCTTGAGACCGTTGGGCAGGGACCCGGGGTGCAAGGAGGCCTGGTGACTACCACGAGGTGGCCGAGTGATCGGCCCTGGTTGGATACCATTTGACTTGGGACACGGTGTAGGCCTTGCCCAGACTCTGTTCTGAGATGCTTGTGGTGGATGGGCGCCACACCTTGGCCTTGGGCGAGTTGGGCTGTTTGGGGCCCGCATGCTGCTGGGCGTGCTGTGTGCTGTCTGCCGGGGCTCTCCTCGGAAGTGCCCCTCCCCCCCCCCAAGCTGGTGACCCTGCCGTCCCCCGGCAGGTCCTCTGCAGTTTCCTGAACCTTGAACAGGCCTCTGCTTTGCTGGGAGAGTAGTTCTCCCTGGTGACCCGATCCCATACCCTTCTGCTTCTCTGTCTGATGATGCTGGTCACCTCATAGCCACGTGTGCTTGGTCCCAGCCTGTGACACCCGAGGGTGCGGGATAAGCCAAGCCGGACGCACCCACCCCTGCGTCTGGGAGGAGGCCTGCCAGCCCTTGAGTCTCCCTCCAGCCCGCGGCCTGCGCAGACACAGAGCACGCCGCCCCTCGCCGCGGCTTTGGGTCCTCTCTCTCCTCTTCCAGGACCTCATTCTTTGTCACCACCTCTCCTTCCAGACCCACCTCTTTCCCTTTTCCTGGCCCTTCCCGCCAGCAGTGAAACAGGCTTCAGGGCCCGTGCCTTTAGAGACCAAGAACCTTGTTCCGCTCCCGTTCTTGCTGCTGGCTGGTGCTCTGCTCCCTTCAGAACAGCAAGTGAAGGAGCGGTCCTCACTCCCTCATCTCCTCGCTCGGGAGCTTGCTGTGGCCCCGGTTTCATCCCGAGCACTCCCCTGGGAATTTCTTTTTGGGGACACCAAGGACCTCTGCTGTCCCAGCAGACCCTTGTCCATCGTGCTGCGCCCTCAGGCACCTTCCGTAGGGAACCGGTTGTGTTTTTTTTTAAAGATTTTATTTATTTATTTGACAGAGATCACAGTAGACACAGGCAGGCAGAGAGAGAGACAGGGAAGCAGGCTCCCTGCTGAGCAGAGAGCCCGATGCGGGGCTCGATCCCAGGACCCTGAGATCATGACCTGAGCCGAAGGCAGAGGCTTAACCCACTGAGCCACCCAGGCGCCCACCGGGAAACGCTTCTTAAAGCCCTTTTCCTCTCTTGGCTTCTGTGACCCCACAGCCCAGGCCTCTTTCTGCCTCACCACGGCTCCTTCTCTGTCTCTTGAACCATGTCTGTTTGTCTGGATGCTGTCCGTCTCCCCAGCACTCTGTCCTCTGCCCGGTACTTCTTCCTCTTCCCGAGCTCTGCCTGCTGGGGAGCCTCAGGGTCCTTCTTGTTCCTCAGCATGCTGGGTCTCCAGATACCCGCGCTGTTCCTTGGCTTCAGGCCTGGATGTCTGGCTGCTGCTGGTCCTTTCCCCGTGGATGCCCGCCAGGCGTCTTGCGTGTAACCCCTAGGGTGGCTGTTGGCCTGCCTGCGCCCCTTCACAGCCTCCCTCTCGCTCACTCTCCTTCCCCGCCTCCCTCCCCATCCCTAGCCCTTCACACTGTGGTAAGTGGCATCGGTTGCTTAACCCAGAAACTCTGCCATCATCCTTATTTCTCCCCTTGCCCCATTTTAACAACCCGTTCGTTGGCAACTCAGTTCTGTCATTTCGCGTCCAGAACAGTCCAGTTGCTCTGGACTCACTGCCCTGACTCCACTGCCACCATCCTGCTCTGAGTCTCCGTGCCTTCCCTCTAGGACTGTGGCGGTCACTTCCCAGCCCTGCTTTTCCTCTTGTTCTCTAGTCCTCTCCCACGGTGGAGCCCGACTGATCTTGGAAAAGCATATCCGATTATTTCATTCCCTGCTTCAATATTTTCCTTTGCACTTGTAGTGGAATCCCAGCTCGTCACGATGGCATCCAAGGGCTGTGTGTCCTCGCTTTCTGCCTGCCTCTCCGGCCTTGTCGTGGGTCCCCTCCGCTGATCATGCTGTGGGCACATTGGCGTCCTTTCTGTACTGGGACTTCTAAAGGCCCCCCCCCCCCCCCCCCCCCCCGCCCCACTGGGGCCTTTGCACATGCTTGTGCCTCTGTCCGGAAGACGCAGCCCGCTGTTTCCTTGTCACCATCAGGTCTCTTTTCCAATGTCCCCTTGTTCCCTTCCATCCTATTTGGCATATGACTTCAGTTATTCCAGCACGTTGGCTTTGCTCCTTGTTTGATCTGGGTACGGGCCGCCCCTGCCGTGGGCACCCTCACAGACACTCCGACGCCCCCTTGCGCTCTGTGTCTCTAATGACAGTTGCATAAAGGTGTCGTCGTCCCCTGCTGTCTCTACAGCTGGCGAAGCATCTGGAACTGTGCAGGGCATCAGACCCTGGCAGAAAGCGTGGCTAGCTGGTCTCTGTCGCCTCCTCTCCCTTTCTCAGTAATCCTGAGCACGGAGTACGGGGGAATGAAATCTGGCTGCTTTCTCCGTCTAGTGTGAATGTCGGGGACCTCCGCCGTAGCCGAGTGAGAGCACACCCCCGAGCTGGCGACAGACGGGATGTTTTTCCGGTTGCTGTCGGCGGTCCGAAGACAAAGGCCCGGCCGAGGATGGCGGAACTGGTCGTCAGGGAGGAGCGGCGCGTCGGCCGCCGAGGCGCATTCCGTCACCCTGCCCACCCAGGCGCAGGTGGTCATCTGCGGTGGCGGGATCATGGGCACGTCCGTGGCCTATCACCTCTCCAAGATGGGGTGGAAGGATATTGTCCTTTTGGAGCAGGGCAGGTAAGGAGCAGACGCACGCGGCGTGGGGCTGCGTTGCACCCACTGCTCGGGCTCCCCTCGTCCCCTCCCCTCCCAGTAACACGGGCCCAGCAGTAGCCAGGATGACTGGCACTAAGTAGCGGGAGAAGAGCCACAGAAAGGCTCCTGGACACGGTTTCGCGATGATTATGCCCATGTTCTTCGGCTCAGAGCGAGCTGCCCAGTTCCAGCACGGCAGGTCTCCTGAGAGGGTGCGCTTCATTTCAGGGTCACGGCGCACCTCGCCGTCTTGTCCTCTCCACTGTAGTCCACAGCAACACCAGCCCTGTGGCTCGGGAGCTTCCTCTGTGAGCCGAGCTGGAAGAGGCTGCGGGTCTCTGCTCCTTTCCTTCACGGGGCTCACGCACTCGAGTGCAGTGGTAAAGGGACGGAACAGTCTCGAAGGTCGTGCGGTGTGCCCGTGCGCCTCGGTCCAGGAGGCGTGTTGCGGAGTGGGGTCCCGGTAGAATGTCATGGATCCGGCGGGTGCCGCATTGGTTAACTGAGGTTCATGCTCTGTTCAGGCTGTCTCACTTTTCCCCGAATGTTCCCGTTCTGTGCTGTTGCCTACCAGATAGTGGATGACCTTTAACACGTCTGTTGTATTTATTTCTGAGTAGGCAATACATGTACACGACTCCGTGAAAATTGTAAGAGTGTCCAGGGGAAAATCTGCCCCCCACCTCCCTGATTCTAGCTGGAAATTTCCCTCGCTGGAGGCAAGTTAAGTTCCTTGTGTATCGTTCCAGATGCTCCCCGCGCATATGAGCGCGTCTGTATCGGTCAGCGCGGATGTGTGTACCTGGGCATTCGTTTGTTATTTTTTATACTTTTTTATTCAGGTTGGTGGCGCACCTTAAACAGCGTCCCTCCCCTTGCTTTGCTCGTTAGGGTTGTTCCATATTGTTGCAGGAAAGCTTTCTCTCGTTCCTTTTTATGTGCCCGTGTGGAGTATCCCGCCATAGAGGAGACTCCGGGCTGCTCGGTGCCACTCCTGTCGGTGGATAGGGAGGTGGCTTCCGCCTTCCCAGCTGACGGACGATGCCGTATGAGGGTCTCCGACTTCGCTGCCGTCCCGCAGTGGGAGTGAGTCCACCTCATGGCATTTTGGATGCATCCTGCAGGCTGGCTGCTGGCTCCACGAGGTTCTGTGCTGGCATCTTGAGCACCGCCAGGCACTTGACCATCGAGCAGAAGATGGCAGACTATTCCAACAAGCTCTACCACCAGTTAGAGCAAGAAACGGGCATCCAGACAGGTAAGCAGGTAATCCGCCGCCCGCAGGTCAGCCTGTGGCGCGGACTCCGGGGCTCCGGGCCGTCTGTGCCCGGCGTCGCGTCGGCCTGTGGGTTCGGTGGTCAGGGCTTGAGTCCCAGACCGGGCACTGCCACTCGTCGGGGTCTTTCCCAGGCGCGAGTCTGTCAGCATGTTGTGCTGCGTCCCGTTTCCCTGCCCGCCGGTCGAGGGGATCCGTCCTTACCCCAGATCCTTTCCAGAGCCTGTCATCCTCAGGATGTGAAAGGCTCCCTGGGCCATTTGCTGTGACTTCACTCACTGAAGTCACAGCAAGTGGCCACACGTGGCTCCTGAACGAAGCCGCCGAGGACTTGCTCCCGGTTGGTGCGTGATGGTGACATTGCTCTGAGCCGCGGCACCTGCCCAGTTGCTCTGAAGGCTGTTTCTGACCAAAGAGCTTAAACGTAGGTTACCCCTCATGTGTGTGGTCAAGGGGAAAGACCCCAGGGAGTCGCGAGCTAAGTATAACCGGAGCAAGTAGAAGGGGAGGGCCGAGCTCCGGGACGGCCCCACACGGTCACAAGGTAGAGGCATGTCTGTCTGCGTGTCATCAGGTGACGTACCGGCCGGAAGCCCAGGGGCTGATGAAACCGTTTGGTGGCCACGGGAGTTGTCCTGGGGGAGCAGCGGGGTCTAGAGCTGAAAATTCAGGATGCCCGTGTCCGTCAGGGTTGCTCTTCTGAAGACCCGCATAATTCAGATCCCAGATGGTTCCAGGCCGATCCTGGCAAGGTCGGTAGTAGCCTGACGTGCTCGCCCGCTGACGCGGCCCTGCCGGGGGTCGCAGCGTAAGCACCGCGGATGGTCTCCTTCGCTGCCCGTTCAAGCGCTTATGTGACCCGCGACACGGCTGTCGGTGGGAAGGTGAGAGTTGACGTGCTCAAAGTTTTGACGACAGGCTGAGGTTTTATGGCATTTCCCCTTCACAGGATTCCTACTCTGGCGAAGCGTCCCCTCGCGTGTAAATCTTGGATCAAGCCTGAACGCCTGGGAACTGGGAGCGGGTGGCTGTGTTTGTGCAGAGGGGAGATGCCAGGAGAGGAGCTGGAGGAGGGGAGGGAAGAGGCCGTGGCCCTCTGCCCGGTGGATGAGGCTGGTGTCCCCCTCTCCACCCGCCCACGGTGTCCTCAGACTTGGCCGGGCTTCCTCTGGAGCGGCGCGGACTCTGAGTGAAGATAGTAAAAGGCGTCCCCGCTCCTCACCACCTCTGCTTTTGTCACGGAGGATGGCTGCTGCGTGCAGGACAGGGGGGAGCGGGTCCCTTTTGGTTGGATTTAATTTGGGGGCAACGGGTACTTGAATCGGGTGGGGAGCGGAGCTGGAGTCGGGAGAGGGTCTGCCTCGGGGGCCCCGAGCCGGAACTGCCGACTTGCGGTCCCGGGTTCGGTTCCTCGTGCTTTGCCGAGCCCTGCGTCGCTTACCTGCTTGGATGCGAGAGGAACCCGGGTCGTGGGCCTCTTGTCTGTAAGGGAAGTTCATCTCACTTGAGTTCTGGGTCCCTTCCTGGAACCGCATTTTGGGCCTGGTGTGTCCCTGTTGCGGTTCAGCCGTGGTGCAGCGGAAAGGGGACGTGGGGTCCCCAACGGAGAATTCCGTTACCTGGCAGGATGCGCAGGGGTCGGTCGGGGGACTGGTTTTGAGCCATTAAATGAAGACACGTGACCTGTGTACAAGCTGGATTTCCGGATATTACACGCTAATCCTCAGAGAGCGTGCGTTTACGTGAGGGGTTTCTTTGCTCCTTTACTAATCTGACACGTCACTACTTCAGATGAGGCAGTCCATGCAGATCTTGTGTCTCCAAAGTTTGCTTTACCTTTTGTTGGTGTTTATCAGTTCATCATATGCTCTTCGTACCATCTTTTGTATCGGGAATTGTTTGGTATGTGTTCATTTTTTGTTTCATTAAATACAAAGATATTTTTAATAATCATTAAAGCGTATTATGGAGGGCTCTGTGAGGCAGCTCATGTGAATAAGTGCTTTGGGGCGCCTGGGAGGCTCAGTCTGTTAAGCATCTACCTTCAGTTCAGGGCATGGTCCTGGGGTCCTGGGATTGAGCTCTCGGTTGTGCTCCCTGCTCAGCGGGAAGCCTGCTTCGCCCTCTGTCTCTTTCTCCCACTCATGCTTGCATGCGCACGCGCTCGCTCTCTCTCTCTCTCTCATAAATGAATAAAATCTTTAAAAAAAAAAAAAAGTCTGCCTTTCATAACCGCAGAGGAGGGTACCCCAGTATGCGCCATTGGTTTGTCCACTTCCCATTACCTGATGTTCATAGTATCCTTTTTTGGTTGTTGGAGTGATGCAGTACAGATCCCTGTAGGCTGCATTTGTTTTTTCTTGCTATTTCTAAAAGACAGAGTTCTAGAAGGTTGATGATTTGAGCAAAAAGCGTTCGTATTTTCAACTCTGATAGGTATGGCCAGATCTGTCCCCGAAAGAGCTACCCGTCACCAGCAGTGTGTGAGCGCGCTTACTGCCTCAGCGTCTCCTCAGTACTATATATGGTGGTTTTTTTTTTTTTAATTTGTTTATTTGACACAGAGAGAGATCACAAGTAGGCAGAGAGGCAGGCAGAGAGAGAGGAGGAAGTAAGCTCCCTGCTGAGCAGAGAGCCCAATGCGGGGCTCGATCCCAGGACCCTGAGATCATGACCTGAGCTGAACACAGAGGCTTTAACCCACTGAGCCATCCAGGCACCCTTACGTATGGTGTTTTCATTCTACTTTCTTGTTAACTAATCTCTCTGCCCAACGTGAGGCTTGAACTTATGACCCTGAGAGCAAGAGTTGCGTGCTCTATCAGCTGAGCCGGCCAGGTGCCCCACGTTGGGTATTATTTTCATTTTTACTTATATGAGAGATGGAAAAAGTTACCGGATTCCAGTTTGCATCTTTAGCACTTAAATATTATTTCTTAGGTTTATTGGTCATTTGTATTTCTTCTCTGACTTGTTTTTTAATATCAGATGTCTACCTTCTCTTACCAAACCTGAGCAGTTCTATGTTATGGCTTCAAACCTGGAATAAAGCACATTTTATGTCAGGAAGCTCTAGACCAAACTTTAAAAGTCCTCTGTGGGAAGACAGTGGACAGGGAGGCTTGTGAAGCAGTGACAGACTGTTGTGGCTGGTGGTTCTGTTGGGAAGAGCACAGTTTGGCTTCATGCGTGTGCTGTGATGTGCAGCTTTGTGCACAGCGGCCCTGTCCTCCCGGGGGACTGTTTGCTGGGGAGTGGGGAGTCACTGCTAAAGCCTTGTCTGCAGGTGAGACTCCGTGTGATCAGCCCCCTCACTGGCCACGATCACCGCACTGGCCTGGTCTGTGTGCAGTTTTTAAAAACCAGTCTCTGAAATTTAATCTCTGAACTGAGACATTCTTGTTGTGTCAGGGAAGGGCATATTTACCTGATGATATCAAAAGAGACGAGAAATATATTTAAGAGATCCTCCTGTGCCGTCTTTTAAAAAGATGGCCTGATTGATTTAGCTTTTTCATCATCAGAACTGAGAGTGAAGTATGTTAGGGAGATTGTCACTGACCCAAGCGCGATCAAGGTTGTGTCAGGTATGCTGACTGCGAAGACCAGGAATTGACCCCGGCCAACTTGGACAGAAGGGAGTTTGTCGGAAGGCCATGGGAGCCAGTCGAGTTGGCAGGAGGCTGCCAGCTGGAGGAGGGAGCATAGAGGCTGGACCAGGGGGAGCCCAGTGCAGGCAGCCCCTCAGCTGAAATGGGGCCCGTCTGGCCAGGATGCTGCTGCTCCTGAGATGGCCGGCCTCCAGCCAGTCACCCGCTTGCTCCAGACCCAGTAGCCCACCCAGGAGGCTGTGCTGCAGTGAGAGAGGGAGGGCCCAGCCCCTGGGCACCGGTGTTGTGAGTGGCCTGCATCGGGGTCACACTCCCACCAAAAACCACGGGGAGAAAGGCTAAAAAGACTGAAGAAGGAGATGGGTTCTGGGGTACATTCCCTTTCAAAAAGCTTTGTAGCAACAGTATCTCTCATTTTTATTTTACGAGTGATTATTTAAGATGTACATGAAAATCCAACTCGATCCTCCCAAAACCCTAGCTGAGGATGTCTGGGTGGTGGTGGTGCCAGGACCCCTCACTGGTCTTCGAACTTACAGTCTAGGGGGCTTGCCCCCCTGACCCCTGCGGGAGGCCTGGGCTGCTCAGTCTGGGCTGGTTTTCCTTACAGGTTACATAAGGACGGGCTCGGTCTTTCTGGCCCAAACTCAGGACCGGCTGATCTCCCTGAAGCGCATCAACTCAAGGCTGAAGTACGTATGAGGCTAGAAGCCTGTCCTGATGCTCCTGTCAGACTGAGCTCTGCCAGAGGGCCATGCATGTCATTGTCCCCTTGTGTTCTGCGGCAGTGTCATAGGCATCCCTTCTGAGATCATCTCTCCCAAGAAAGTCGCCGAACTTCACCCTCTCCTCAACGTGCACGACCTGGTGGGGGCCATGCATGTTCCTGAGGACGCCGTGGTGTCCTCTGCTGACGTGGCTCTTGCCCTGGCCAGTGCTGCCTCTCAAAATGGTAAGCAGGTTTCTGGGTGAGGAAGGAAGAGGTTACATAAGAAGGCGCCTCACAACTGGCAGTGACACCAGTTCAGCTTCCGCTTCTGAGCACTGCCTCTTAGAACGTTTGTTTGAATGTACTGTCTGTTAATAAATGTTTCCTCAGGGCCAGATTTTTCTTAATAAAGTTCTAAGGAACTGCTTTCTTTTAGTACTGATCAGTGCACTTCAGGCTTATGGGACTCCCCCCACCCCCAAGAACATGAGAAGCTCCAAGGTCAAAAGACACAAGTGGACTAAATCCACAGCTGGTTGTGTCCTGGGGTTGGAATGAACAAGGGGAAGACTAACCAGTGTCTACGGTGTTCTGCTCTTTGGATGAACTGACTCACGGTGTGGGTGCATTAGGATTTAAGGTGCTTTATTTGAACTTTTTCTCCCCTGCCCCTTTTATGATTCCTGGAATGGAGTTGTGTACTAAAGTTGCCCCGCTGTTTTAAGTCTTGGAAAAGGCCCATTGATGCAGTCTCAGGATGTGGTTCCTGGGAGTTTGTTTGTTTGTTTGTTTTTTGTTTGTTTTTTTTTTTTTTTAAATAAATCACTGACGTGGCTTTTTCAGCGTTTCTCAGGGGTTGAGAATCTGCTACAGAGACCTTAATTCTGGGCCATTAGTGGATGGATGCATCACCTTTCTTTACCTTGGAACAGGTGTCCAGATCTATGACCGGACCAGTGTTCTTCACGTAATGGTCAAGAAAGGTCAAGTTTCCGGCGTGGAGACAGATAAAGGACAGATCGAGTGCCAGTATTTTGTCAACTGTGCTGGTCAGGTAGGTGAGCAACCGTACTGGGTCACTGATTTTCTCACTTCATTGTTACCTCTGGGATTTTAGGTATGGAGATGTAAGGTTAATACAGTTATGACCTCAGCAGTCATCACGGACCACTGTTCCTTGTTTGGACTAGAAACCTCAGAATTCTCTTATTCTTTTTTTTTTTTTTTTTAAGATTTTATTTATTTATTTGACAGAGAGATCACATGTAGGCAGAGAGGCAGGCAGAGAGAGAGGAGGAAGCAGGCCCCCTGATGAGCAGAAAGCCCGATGCAGGGCTCGATCCCAGGACCCTGAGATCATGACCTGAGCCAAAGGCAGAGGCTTTAACCCACTGAGCCACCCAGGCGCCCCAGAACTCTTTTATTCTAAATCAGAGGCCTCTAGCCAGTCCTCAGAGAGGAGCACCAGTGGTGACCTTTTCCTCCCGCCACCCTGGGTTAATCGGTGCCAGGAAGTCTGCGAAATGGTCGGGCATTGACAGAAATCCTTGGCGTTGGGTCTCCTTTGGTGTTTCATTTCATCCTGCCACCTAGCAAATAAAGCACAGGGCTATTTTTTGTGTCGGGAGTGTGGGTTCAGTTCAGAACACTAAGCTGCTTCTACTTTTAAGGCAGATTGGTCCCTTGCCTTCCACTCTACAATCTTCAGAGGACCTGGGGGGCTTTTTGCCTTGCAAACGTCACAGATGACAGAATCTGGGATTTGTAGGTACCAGGCGGTATCAGGCGTTTTGTTACAAGGGCATCACTTGCCCCCCCAATGAGCTCCTTTTATGAGTTGCTAAATCTCTCGTTCTTTGGTCTAAAATTAATTGTTATGGTTTAAACAGGACCATGTTGCTCCCCGCCCGTGTAACTAAAGCAGGCTGCACCTTGGCTTCCCACACCTGACCTTGGGGCAAGCGCACACACAGGCCACCTGAAATTAAGCTCTGGCAAGCGGCTGAACGTGCTCATTTGTCTTTCTTTCCTCTTCCCACCCACAAATCAATCTGTCCATTTGTAGTGGGCATACGAGCTGGGTCTGTCCAACGAGGAGCCGGTTAGTATCCCGTTACATGCCTGCGAACACTTCTACCTTCTGACTCGCCCCTTGGAGACCCCTCTGCAGAGCAACACACCAAGTGAGGACTTACACTTTGTTTTTAATCTTGTTTCCTTGCCACTGTCCTGTCTTCTGAAAAGGAAGACTTTCTCCTCAGGATAGACAGTGCTCCGAAGAGCCTCGTCTCTTCTGGAGCATGTTACGGGGGAGGCCGACCCAGTTCTGCCTTTTCTCTAAGGACTCTTTATGAAAGGATGGACAAAATGGGCATTCCACCGAAGCAATGTTTTGGTTGGTTGATTTTGTAAGCTGACGGCAGCCCCACACAGAGGTCCAGGCTGAGAATATTTGCAGTGTAACCTGGAGTTTTTGACTGGAAGGGCACACACTGTAGAGGGCTTCTAGGTGAGCTCCAGTCCGGTTGCTCCGTGGTCCCGAGTGCCACAGGAGAGGGCTTGACATCATCTGGAAGGTCTCGACCCCGAGAATGGGCTTGCAGTGCCCCTTTTCTGCTAGGCTTTCCTGCAGCACTGCGGCAGCGCCATAGTTCGGTTGCAAGCACCAGTCAGAGCTTCTAGGTAACTGATCAGAGAAACGGTGTCCCCTGTGAATCTGAGAGGCACAGGTCCTCCCCCATGACCTCGAAAGGTCTGCATTCCCTGGATGCTCTTTGGCTAATAAAGCTAATAATGAGTGTCTGGGTTCTGCTTTTTCTGTGCATTTAGAGAGCTGGCCTACCTCTAAACCTTCTATCCCCCACTCCCTTGTTGTTTCTCTTCCTCAGCTATTGTGGATGCTGACGGAAGGATTTATATCCGGAACTGGCAGGGTGGCCTCTTGTCTGGGGGCTTTGAGAAGAACCCGAAGCCCATCTTCACTGAGGGCAAGAACCAGCTGGAGATTCAGAATCTGCAGGAAGACTGGGATCACTTTGGTGTGCAAACTAGGGGATAACTGTAATGCCCCATGTTGTCTAAGATGCTGTCTTTTTGAAAGCATTTTCAGGAAGAGTTCATTCTTCGATCTTTGTAACAGCCCCATGAGGTGCTCACAGAAGGTAGCCTACAGAGTTTGCCTGTCTAAGGCTGTGGTTACAGGGTAGCAGATTCTGGGGACAAAGATCTTGGTTAAGGGACTTCTGGCCTATTACTGTACCTAAAACAACTGCTAAAATTCTAGGCTAGGAGGAAACCTTTTTGTAGGCAGCTTGGAAAATTAAATTTTTAGAAAGTAGAATCTTTTTGTTAATATAGTCTTTTAGAATTTTTTTTTTTAAGATTTTATTTATTTATTTGACAGAGACACAGCGAGAGAGGGAACACAAGCAGGGGGAGTGGGAGAGGGAGAAGCAGGCTTCCCTCTGAGCAGGGAGCCCAATTCAGGACTCGATCCCAGGACCCTCAGATCATGACCTGAGCCAAAGGCAGACGCGTAATGACTGAGCCACCCAGGTGTCCCTTTTAGCTGGTTTTTGTTTTTATTGAAGAAGAATTGACCTATGATACTGTATTAGTTTCAGGTGTATATCACAGTGATTCAGTATTTATATGCCCCTTGATTTTGTAATTTTTTTATTTCCTTACTAAAAGGAAATACAGATAGTTAATACAGTCCTGTGGCCCAGATTCCAAAGATATGGTGTATAATGTAGAGTTTCCTCTCCCACCCTTAATGGACTTTTTTTTTTTTTTTTTTAATAAACTTTTTATTATGGGAGATTTCAGACTTTTAAAAGTGCAGAGAATAGTATACAGAACCCTCTGTGTACCCACCAGCCAGCTTCAGTCTGGTTTCATCTGTTGCCACTGTCCCCCTGGAGTAATTCCCAGATGCCGGGCTGACTTTCCAACAGGCTGGTGACCTGTCTTTTGTAGCTGTTCCAGCTTGGGAAATCCTTGCTTTTCCCCAACTACCAGTCCCTTGGAGATCTTACTTGTCCTCTTGTGTGTTGTGTGCCCTTCCACAGCTCCTCGCCTTTCTAACGAGTGTCTTTTTTCTCTGTCTTTATGCCAAGCACTTCATAGGTTTGTCCCTTAACTCGAGCATGGTTTCTGCTTTCTGACTCAGGCCATTTGGCACTTCTGAGAAAGCCTCTTTCAGGAGATTCTCTGTGATACGAGGGAGTCGGGAAGCAGGAGTCGGAAGGTTTTGAATCCCCTAAAGCTGAGGACTGTGTTTGGGTTTGTTTTCACGGCTCAGAGCCCCTGCTGAGTTCCCTCCTGCGTCGCATGCCCGACCTGGAGACCCTGGAGATCCTGAAGTTGGTGAACTGCCCCGAGACCTTCACCCCGGACATGAGGTGCATCATGGGCGAGTCTCCTTCGGTGCGGGGCTACTTCGTCCTGGCGGGAATGAACTCTGCCGGCCTTTCGTTCGGTGGAGGGGCTGGGAGGTAAGTCTTCCTGCTCTGCCCCCGTTTGCCGGGTGCTTCCTTCCTACAGTCACTTGTTGCTCCTGTGGCGCGTCACGGGGCTAGGCAGTGTGGCACGGTAACAGTGAGGAGGTACCCGTGATCGGAGAGTTGTGCCCTAAGGTCATCACTGTGGCATATTCCGGAAGTATCACTGTGCATAGTGGTCGCGAACTCTTTGGAATTAGTCTCAGAGCCTGTGAGATGTACTTTTGGGCTCCTGCAGTGGTTACAAATGTTGATCCTTCGAGTGCATTTGCGTTTGGAAACGCTAAGTGCTGTGAGACAGAGGATCATGCTGAGTAATACAAGTCTTTTGAAAAAATTACATACTAATTAAAAGCAGCCAGTCAGAAAGGACAAACACTGGGTGGTTGAACTTCTCTGAGCTCCTTGGAGTGCCGGGCGGCTGGCAGGCTGGGGCAGCGGAGCGGAGGGGGCCGCTGGCTGTGCGGAGGGAGTTTCGGTTTGGGAAGTTGAAGAGTTCAGGAGGCGGTGGCGGTGGTGGCCACCCGACACTGTCGAAGTACATACTGCCCCTGAACCTCACACAGGAAAACAATTTTATGTTCTGTTTTGTTCTATGTTTTGTTATGTTCTGTGTATTTTACCACAATTAAATTTCTGAATTTTTTTATTGATGTGATTTTATTGATCTGCTTTTTATTGATGAGGCCATTTTTCTTGAGTGACTTGTAGAATGGCTCTGAAAACAGGGAAGAGGAGTTACCCAAAGTGTTTGGAGCTGAGATATGGTCAGATAGTGTATAACCTCCGAGGGTTTTCCAGGAAAAAAACCACTGGATGGATAAATTAGAGTACATCTCTATTTTCATCTTTTTTCACAGATGTGGCTTGTCTTATAGCACTTTCTAGGGAATCTTACTAGAGTTAAAATTCTCACAGCGGTTTTGAGAGCAGTAGATGGATCGTGTTTGTTTGTTCAGAAAAGTTAAGGGATTTGCCCAGAATTTCTCAACCAGTCTGTGACAAGACGGGCTGTTTCTGTTGGCTGTTGCTTCCTCATACAGTTAGGAGAGTGTCCCATGGGAGGTATAGCAACTTCCCCCACATCTAAACAGGTACCTCGCTGAATGGATGGTGCACGGTTACCCATCAGAAAACATCTGGGAACTGGACTTGAAGCGTTTCGGAGCCCTCCAGAGCAGCCGCACCTTTCTGCGTCACCGAGTCATGGAAGTCATGCGTGAGTGGAGCTCGGTCCCGGCGGTGCCTTGTTGAAGGTGTCTGCCCTGGGGCCTGCTTGATCATTCTGAGGGGTAGTTGTTTAATAATTGCTGAGTGGGCTTCTGATGTCTGGTTGAGGCATTAGGCCCTGGGTGATAGTTATAGAACCTTCTCTTTAGTATATTGTCTTTTATTTACCTCTGGGGATAGGAAAGAATAGGGCTTCCCTTGGATTCCCAGTGTCATCTGCTTTCCACTGCGCCTGCCACGTTCCCGTGCCAGGTGAATGCTTCGCTCCCTCCTTGATCTTTGAGACCATGATTTGGTTTCCAAGGCAGAGAATTTGCCACGTTATTCTCAAAGCTTCAGGCTTCTCTGAGTGATTTTTGTCATTAACTGTTACATGCTAGCAAGATAGGAGACCACTTCTCATGTAAATATAAAACATACGCTTCTGTTCTCATTGGTCTTCCCTCCAGCTTTGAAGGCCTCTTCGTTTTAACTTGTTACTGTACCTTGTCTCTGATTTATTTTCTATTAAACCCTCAGAGTCAGCTTTTGTATCAGAAACTGAACCAAATCGGACTGTCATTTCACTGTCCTATACTGAGGAACTATTATTCTGAGCGTTTGCCAAAATATTCCTAAATATTTGGGGCATATTTATACTCACAGCCAAGTTTCTGCACTGGCTCTGAGCACCAGTCTTGATTAACGGTGAATTGTTGATTAAGTACTGGTGGGGGGTTGGGGGCCCATTCACGATGAGGCCTTTGGTTAACCATTAGCATCTATGTGCTCACTTCTGGCCTGTGGCAGGGAACGGTCTGTGGGAGACAGAGGGCCTGCCAGCAGTGTGGGTGGCTACTAAGATTCTTTAATTTTAGCAGAGATTTTGGTTAAAATGATGAACTGCCATAAGTCCTGATTTTCCCAGCCGTAGTTTCTTTAGAACCTGTGCAAATTATAATGGAGCTTTAGTTTCTCCTTGATGATGTGACACTTATGGTGGCCACCTCCAATTCTCACATGACAGGAATCGCAGGCACAATAGAAAGTGGGGAAGCTAAGTAGGACCTTAAATGTGAGAGGGGACTGAAACATCGTCACAAGTTAAGGCAACCAGCGTGGGTCCCTTCTCTGCATCTCTCAGCCTCCTCTGCAGCCCGCTGTCCCTCTTGTGTGGCATGCCACAGGGTCAGGTTTTCTCTGTACTAGGACTCGAGCTCACACTCTTGCTGGCTGTTTTCACATCTTGCTGTCGGAGATTGGACACTAGGAGACATGAATTCTGACCTTGGCTTTGTCATGTGACTATGTCACTGGGCCAGGGCTCTGCAACCCGTCCGATATCACAGCCACCAAATCAGGGTATACTCTGTGCCCTTTCACTTCGGAAGCGGGTCAGATGTTAGAGAGAGTTGTCTGTAGCAGTTCTGAGGGCTCAGCGACTCTGGCCCCATAAAGAAGCACACGCCATGTATTCACACGTTGTTGCCTGCTGTGTGCTGTGGCGATGCAGCCTTCCTCTCTGCTGGGGAAATCGGACCTTCCTCCCATCGACTCTGCCTACAGATTCGAACCTGGAGGTGTTCTGTGGCTCACAGCCGTGTAACTGTGGGGGAGGAGCACAGCTTCTGCAGCATTCCTCTTTCTTTTGGAGCCAGCCTGTCGCACTGGGCACCGGTCCATATTAGGCCCCGTTAGCCCGCAGAGCGTGCTATTGTGCATAGAGCAAGTCCTGAACCTTGTGGATGCTGTGTTCTCCGCCCTGTGGTTTGGGCTGGCAGAGACCGTCCTTATCTGTTCCAGCTCTGCTGTACGATCTGAAGGTTCCCCGTTGGGACTTCCAGACCGGGAGGCAGTTACGCACCTCCCCTCTCTATGACCGGCTGGATGCACAAGGAGCCAGGTGGATGGAGAAACATGGATTTGAGAGGCCCAAGTACTTTGTGCCACCGGACAAGGGTAAGAAGGCCTGTTTTCATTTTTGTTCCTTTTTGTCCTAAGGGCCAATAAAACCCACTTAAAATGCATTATAGCTAGAACATGTTCCTAGAGGAATAAACAAAATCTGTCACGCTCTACTAAGCTCCACGCGATATAAAAAATCTCCTTTTTTCTTTTTCTCTTGTTGTTTTCTGGTCCACAGACCTCCTGGCATTGGAGCAGAGCAAGACGTTCTATAAGCCAGACTGGTTTGAAATTGTGGAGTCCGAGGTCAAGTGCTGTAAGGAAGCTGTGTGCGTCATTGACATGTCTTCTTTCACAAAGTTTGAAATAACAGTAAGTGCTTGGGAACCAAAAGAAGAGATTAGGAACCTTTGCGTATTCGTTGAATGCCCCGTTTTTCATCTGTCACTTTAAAACTGCTTCTCTAAGAACTCTGGTATATCTTAGTGTTTTAGCTGTATTATAGCATTTCTCTAAATTTTGAGCTGTTTCTGGGTTGTAATCCGCTTGCAGAGGCCCACTTAACATCTGAATCAAGCTAGCTTTCTCCGGAGCTTCTGGCAGTGGAGTAAAACCACAGGCATCGTTGCTGGGGGATGATGGGGGGAATATCCTCAGCAGGTCACAGTGTCACCCGGCCACAGGCTTTTGTGCTCACGCTCTCTGCTTTGTTCCCTAACCCGGCAGTCCACCGGGGACCAGGCCCTGGAAGTCCTTCAGTACCTCTTCTCCAACGACTTGGACGTGCCTGTGGGCCACATCGTGCACACCGGCATGCTCAACCAGGGTGGGGGCTATGAGAATGACTGCAGTGTCGCACGCCTGAGCAAGCGCAGGTGAGGCCCACATCCCCCACCGCCCCCCACGGCACCCCGACTCCATGCGGGGAGCCTGGCGCCCGGCCCTGGGCTCCAGGAAACCCGCTTACACCCAGGACACAGAGATTTCAGACAGTCCTGGCCTGGTCCTTGGCAGTGCAGTACAGATAGAAATCACAAGGGAAGGAGAAGAAACCCCCAGATTAATAAAATTCGCTGTGAACAGAGGAGTCACCCTAGGGGCAGAGATGGTCGCTTACCGTAGTCGGTCTCATCTGCTATCTCGGCACCGACGGGAAGCCCAGGTCTTGTTTTGTGCTCACTCGGTAGATCCGGGGCTTGGGCACTGCCGGCCCTCTCGGAAAGCCAGGTCTTCTGCGCGTGGGTTGCTTTGAAATGAGTTAATCTGCCTGCTTCCTGACTCGTTCTCAGCTGCCTGGCTTTGATTACTCTCTGTCTCCCTCTCAGTTTCTTCATGATTTCCCCCACCGACCAGCAGGTCCACTGTTGGGCCTGGCTTAAGAAACACATGCCGGAAGACAGCAACCTGCTTCTGGAGGACGTCACCTGGAAATACACCGGTAGGCAGGACCTCTGGGGTCGGCTGTGCAGGGAAAGGCCAGCCTGTCCAGATGTGTCTTCTCCATTTGCCTTCTATTTGACCTTCAGAAATGGGGATCAGAGTCAGAGGCGTGCAGGAGGCTCTTTGGGCGCACAGCATCGTTCTCTGACACCCAGGTTTTGTCAGTGTGGTGTGCACTGAGTTGTGTTTTAGTTGTGGTTTGTTTTGTTTGCTGTTGTATCCCTACGGCCAGCATGGAGGAGTGCAGATATTGGTTAAATGAATGGGTAAATCATTTGAATAGTATTTTTTTTTTTTAAAGATTTTATTTATTTGACACAGAGTGAGAGAGGGAACACAAGCAGGGGGAGTGGAAGAGGGAGAAGCAGGCTTCCTGCCGAGCAGGGATCCCAGCGTGTGGGGCTCGTTCCCAGGACCCTGGGATCATGACCTCAGCCAAAGGCAGATGCTTAACAACTGAGCCACCAGGGACCCCAGTAGTATTTTTTTTTTAAAGATTTTATTTATTTGACAGAGATCACAAGTAGGCAGAGAGAGAGTGGGGGGGAGCATGCTCCCCGCCGAGCAGAGAGCCCAATGTGGGGCTCGATCCCAGGACCCTGGGATCATGACCCGAGCGGAAGGCAGAGGCTTTAACCCGCTGAGCCACCCAGGCGCCCCGGTTTTTTTTTTTGTTGTTTTTTTTTTTTAAAGATTCTCTGTATCTATCTGACAGGGCGCCTGGGTGGCACAGTCGGTTGGGCATCTGACTTGATTCCGTCTCAGGTCATGATCTCAGGGTTGTAAGATCAAGCCCTACGTGAGGCTCATTGTGGAGTCTGCTTGAGATTCTCTCTCTCCCTCTGCCCCTCCTCCCCATCGTGTGCTCGCACTCTCTCTAAAAGACATAAATTTTCCTTTAAAAGATTTATCAGGGGGACGCCTGGGTGGCTCAGTTGGTTAAGCGGCTGCCTTCGGCTCAGGTCATGATCCCAGCGTCCTGGGATCGAGTCCCACATCGGGCTCCTTGCTCGGCAGGGAGTCTGCTTCTCCCTCTGCCTCTGCCTGCTTCTCTGTCTGCCTGTGCTCGCTCACTCTCTCTCCCTCTGTGTCTGACAAATAAATAAAAATAAAATCTTTAAAAAAAAAAAAAAAGATTTATCAGGGGCACCTGGGTGGCTCAGTCATTAAGCGTCTGCCTTCTGCTCAGGTCATGATCCCAGGACCTGGGATCAAGCCCCACATCAGGCTTCCTGCTCAGCAAGAAGCCTGCTTCTCCCTCTCCCCCTCCCCCTGCTTGTGCTTCCCTCTCTCACTGTGTCTCTCTCTGTCAAATAAATCAGTTTTTTAAAAAAGATTTTATTTGTTTATCAGCAGACTCCATGCTGAGCACTGAGCTCAACATGGGACCTGATCCCATGACCCTGAGATTGTTACCTGAGATAAAATCAAGAGTCGGATGCCCAACCCACTGCACCACTCAGGTGTCCCAAACGGTATTTTTTAATTTATTGCTGATGTATTATTTTTCCTCAGAATTTCCTGTTACCTTTTTTGAGTGAGTGAATAATTTTTGAGGATGACTTAATTTCTTTCTTTTTTTTTAAGATTTTATTTATTTATTTGACAGAGAAACAGTGAGAGAGGGAGCATAAGCAGGGGGAGCGGGAGAGGGAGAAGCAGGCTTCCCACAGAGCAGGGAGCCCGATGAGGGACTCAATCCCAGGACCCGGGATCATGACCCGAGCTAAAGGCAGACACTCAGCTGACTGAGCCACGCAGGTGCCCCAAAGATGACTTAACTGTCTCCTCCTCAGCAGTCCTGTGGGGGAGCAGCCCCTCCTTCTACCGGCTCATTCTAGGTTTAATGCCTGCCAACCTCCCATTTAACCAACGCCCGCCCCTCGTCCCCAGCAGGCCCTCGTTGCCAATTCATAGCAGCTTTTCCTTCTTGCTACCAGACTGGCAGACTGTAGAACCAGAGTTGTTTTCTAGCCCCTGAGGGTGGTTGGTGTGTAGTTCCCACAAGCTGCCGTCACGTGATGGACTCCAGGCTGGTTGGGCAGCTCTTCTCAGGGCTGTCTTCCTGGTGCAGATCGGGGATTGGGCTCCTCCCGTCACGTAGCAGCCTGGGAAGAGGGAGGCAGTGGGAACTGTGCGGCAAGTTCATGGCCAGGCCTGGCGGTGGGCGCCTGTCATCAGCCAGGACGTGGTCTCACGATCCCATTGTCCCTGCAGAGGCGGCTGTGGGTTGTCTGCCAGCGCCCCGGGCAGAGGAAGCAGCTCGCTGGGCGCTGTTGCCAGCAGTCAGTAGCTGCCTCAGCAGGCCTGTCAGGAGGGGTGCGCTTGTCGGAATGGAGGGACTCTCTCTCTGTCCATCCTTGGGTTGCCTAAGCAAAGGGTTGCTGTCGTGGTCTTAATGCCCAGGCCTGGCAGCAAGGGATCAAGTCCAAAACAGACTTTTCTCTTTGGCCCAGCTGTCACCTGGACTGGCATCTCTCGTTCCTTTCCGTTTAGCCCTCAATCTGATCGGTCCTCGAGCTGTGGATGTGCTGTCTGAGCTGTCCTATGCCCCTATGACTCCAGACCACTTCCCAAGTCTGTTTTGCAAGGTGGGTGCTAATAAAGTTTTAGTCGTTAAGTGGGTAGGGAATACTTGTTTTATAGTGATGGCAATTACATGTTCTTACTATAGCATTGATGCCCACAAACGGTGTTGTGGTTTTCATTAAGCAAACAAAATGACTCAGTAAATTCATTTATTTTTCACCCTGCCAAGTCTCCTTATTCAGTAAGCATTAGGGTATCTTTGAAAGTGGATTTAACTTCTCTGAGTATCAGCCCTATGTATTTATTGCTTTGTGTAGCAGTGGCTTAAATTGTCTAAGTTAGAGCATTATTACACAGATGCCAAAAATGCTGGTTAAGGTCAGGTCCGCATTCTCTGTGCTTCCCCTTCCCCTTCACAGAGTAACTTCTGTCTGTGCAGTATCTCTGGGTGAGCAGCTTCTGTACGTTCCTTATGTTTGGCAACAGTAGCCACTGATAACTGAGTAAAACAAGTGGGAACTGAATGCTGGTAAGCGAGGTCTAAACGGACCAGTGGTTTGGTGACCTGTAACCAACAGCCGTGGGACAGTTACTCATAGAGGCTCCTCGAAATTCGGACCCAAGCTGGGATCCAGCTGCTGACAGTACAGTTTTCCTTTTCCTCCGCGGCAGAATGGAAGCAACGGAAAGCTCACGCCGTTAGCCGTCAGCAGGCCCTTCCCTGCAGGGCTTGCTTCCTGACGAGCGGTCCACGCGTGTGAGCCTACAGAGCGGCGCGTCCTCTGGGCTCCCCGGGGGAGTAGCTTGCTTCACTGCCATCGGGACCTAGCACTTTCCATGGTAGGAACAACAATGGTGCCAGAGGGCCGTTAGGTAACTAAGGCTCCATAAACACATTCTGAGGGTGAGAAGCCCAGCCTCTGACCCAAGTAGCAGGTGCACCACATTCTGTGGTCGTCGGGTGCCCTCTTGTGGGGCAGGTGCCCGGGACTTGGCTGCCAGATCTCCTGGAGAAGACATTAACTCGGTCTTCATCACTCCAGATGCCCCTGACTACAACAAATCCTCAGCAGGGCTTTGTGAAAAGAAATGTTTCTTGCTTGTAAAGACTTTGCCTCCACTTCCCACCAGCAGCTTGGCTGGCCCTCCGGCAGTGGCGACACTCCTGAGAAGAGAGATTGTAGCGACTCTGCTCCCTTCCTGGTGACCCCAGTACTTGGAAACAGACCACTTGGAGGATGAATTTTTCATTCACATGTGCCCCTTGTCGGATCAGAGGCGCAGAGCTAATGAGAGGGGCTCACCTCAGGTGTTCATCACTCCGCAAGTGCCAGGTGCTCAGGACCTCTGAAGTGCCCGTGCTCAACCGCTTCCTCTGCTTCCACAGGAGATGAGCGTGGGCTACGCGAACGGGATCCGGGTGATGAGCATGACGCACACAGGAGAGCCGGGATTCATGCTTTATATCCCCATAGAGGTGAGCCTCCCGGGGAGGGTGCCAGCTTCCCCACGCCGGCTGGGCATTGGCAGGGCTAGAGTTTCCAGCTGGGCCTTGGGAACTTAGATAGGCTGCAGTGGAGGGACTTCATTTTGAACTAAGGTATTTACTTTTTTGAAGAGGAAATACATTTACATGGTTTAAAAATCAAAACCTAGGGGCGCCTGCGTGGCTCAGTGTGTTAATGCCTTTGCCTTCGGCTCAGGTCATGATCCTGGGGTCCTGGGATCAAGCCCCGAATCAGGCTCTTTGCTCAGCGGGGAGCCTGCTTCCTCCTCTCTCTGCCTGCCTCTCTGCCTACTTGTGATCTCTGTCAAATAAATAAAATCTTTTAAAAAATTTAAAAAAAAAAACCTATAGGAAGGATTTAGTGCCACCTGAGCAGTTCCCAGCAACCACCACTAGTGACCCAGCTATTAGTTTTTTCTAGGTCATGTCCAAGATTTCTGTGCATATGCAGATAAGTTCAAAGACACCATAACCCTTTTTTAGAAACACAGATGGAAGCATATGGCTGTTCTTAATAATCGTAGAGCTCCTTCCGGGTCAGTACCTAAAGAGAAGAGCTTCCTCTTTATTTTTTAACAGTGGTGAGTCTTCCTTCACATCACATCGTCAAATCATCATTTACGTGATTAGTCTGGGACCGATGGACGTTTGTGGGTGTAGCGCTTGTAGGCCTTTGCTGTTATAAGCCGCTCTGCGTACCGGTGTCTTCCCGGGCCGTGCACGTGCATGCCCCAGCGCTGCTCTCTCACAGGTTGGCTGATAGGTACGGCGTTGTCAGCGCACTCTTCACTTTTTTTGTGAGATGAAGCAACTTTTCAGAACCCATTTCCAAGTAAAAGCTCATCTGTAGGACCTGTGCACTCCTGCCTGCCCCTCCCCCACCCTGTTCTTCTGACCTTATCCTTTCTCTGCCTCTTCCGCTCCTTGCCAGTCCTTGACCGTGCTGCTGCTCCTGCCTCAGGGTCTTTGCACTTGGCTCTTCCCCTTCCCTGGTGTGCCCTTCCCCCATCGGGAGGCTCTCAGAGCCGCACCTGCTTTGGGTCGCATTCACATGGCATCTTCTGGATGAGGCCTTGACGGGGCGCAACAGCCACCCCACCCCCTGGTTCTCCCTCTCTGCTTTCCATCTGATAAAATGTATTTTACTTATTTCATTCATCAGATTACCTTTATTTAATGTAAGTTCTCTGAAGGCAGGATTATTTATCTGTTTTAACTTTTACATCCTAGGCACCTAGAGAAGTATTTGGCATATAGTAAGTGGTTAATAAACGTTGCATGAATGAATGTTCTGGTCATAACCTTTGTGCACTTTTGTAATGAATGATTGGTCTGTTTACCAGTTTTTAAGCATTGTCTGAATCAGTCCTTGCTGTTGAGGTGTATCCCAGTTTGTCTTTTTTTTTTTTTTTTTTTTTTTAAGATTTTATTTAGAGTGTGTGCGCAAGTGGGGGGATGGGCGGAGGGAGAGTCTCAGGCAGACTCGGTACTGAGCACAGAGACCCATGCGGGACTTGATCTCAGAACCCAGAGATGGTGACCTGAGCTGAAAACCAAGAATTGGAGGCTTTAACCACTGAGCCACCTAGATGCCCCCCAGTTTATCATTGGTCTTTTCATTTTTTTGCCACACAGGTTTTAAAAAAAAATATATGAGAAATGTTTCATACGTTGCAGAGATGTTTTTGATTTTTATGTAATTGAGTTGATCTTTTGTGCCTTCTAGAGTTTGATGCATAGTGTCAGGATTATAAGATTTTTTTCAGTTTTCTTCTAGTGCTTTTATAGTTGTGTTGCTCTGTTGTATGGATTTGTGGGGTTTTCAAATATTTCAATGCCCCATCCTTTTGCAGTGTCTCTTGCTGTACTTCATGGGATATGGATCAGACTTTTTTTTTTTTTTTAAAGATTTTATTTAATTATTTGTCAGGGAGAGAGAGGGAGAGAGAGCAAGCACAGGCAGACAGAATGGCAGGCAGAGGCAGAGGGAGAAGCAGGCTCCCTGATGAGCAAGGAGCCCAATGTGGGACTCGATCCCAGGACGCCGGGATCATGACCTGAGCCGAAGGCAGCTGCTTAACCAACTGAGCCACCCAGGCGTCCCTCAGACTTTTTTTTCTACACGGATAACCAGTTGATTTGACATTCCATCCTTACCGGATCCTAAATTCCTCTATGTTTTTGGATTTATTTCTGGACTTCTGTTTTTATTTTTGGACTTCTGTTCCCTTAGTCTATCCATGATCAGGATCACTTACATATTGTAATATTTGGTTGTGCTTATCCTCCTCCATAGCTTGGAAAACTCTGGGAAAAAACATTCATGTTTTCTTATTTCCCCTTGGAAACTATAATTATCTAGTTAAGAACACTGACGGATTTTGGGTTATATTACATTTATACATTAGGAAGAACTGACATGAGGTGCTCAATCTTAAAAAAGAAAGCCTTTGAGTTTTTATTTAAGTTTTTTTGGTGACCTTTCAGAGGTATTGGAAGTTTTCTTCATATAGATGTTAAAATATTTTGTTGCTGTTGTGAATGAGACGAGTGGTATCTTTGTTCCATTATCTTCTAAGTGGATTATTATTTTTTAAAAAGATTTTATTATCTATTTGAGAGCGGGAGCATGCACAAGTTGGGGGATGGGCAGAGGGAAAGGGAGAAGCTTAGCCAGGAGCCCGAATAGGGTCTCGATCCCAGGACCCTGAGATCATGATCTGAGCTGAAGGCAAACGTTTAACCTTAATTGAGCCACCCAGGCGCCCCAAAGTGATAATGAAAGCCATTTTTTTCTTTTATATTTTTTATTTCCTTACTAAATTTTCTTATAGTTGTTTTTTAGTTGAGTCCTTGGAACTTTCAGGGTCCAGTCTTACGTACATAGGGATCCTAGGCATCTCTGTCTTGTTCTTGATGTTAGATGCATTACCTGCAGCCTTAGGCTTTCTTTCCGTTACTGGCTGAAGCAAGCATTTGCCAGCCCATGGAATTTTATGTCCTTGTCCAGACAGATATAACGGTTTTAAGATGAAGGGATTAGTCACAATTTGGGAAGAGTTGATGCAGCGGTAGCTGACTTGTGCCTGTGCAGGCAGGGATCGATTCTGAAGTGCCACATGATCAGTCAGCTTTGCCGCTTGGGTGCCCGTGTCATTAAGTGGCCAGACCTGGTCGAGGGGGATGCTCTGTGGCTCCAGTAGCTTCTTTAGTTAAGGCCTTGGTTTCAAAGTCTGACTATCCTGGGCTGGTCCTGTTTTTATGATTTTCCATGAGTCCAAGAGGTGATTTGTGCCATGCCTGGGTTCTTCTCAAGCTGGCTTTCATCCTCAAGAAGGTTATGCAGTTGACCCCTGAATAACGTGGGGGTCAGGGCACCCGCACCCCGCCCCAGTCAGAGCCCCACATAGAACTTTCAACTCCTCAAAAACGTGACCTGCTAATAGCCTGCTGTTGCCTGGAAGCCTTACTGATCACTCGAGGAGCTGACGGACACATACTTCGTGTGCTGTGTACTGTCCTCTTACAAGCCACGTGAACTCTACTTGTCAACTACATTGGTCTCTTTGAGGGAAATGTATTCCGAAATGTGGTGGCAGATGGCCGGTTCTTGTTCTGCTCACACCGAATCCCCAGCGCTTAGAAAATGAGCGCGCTCGGCTCCTGCTTTTCTCATCCAGCCCCGGGGGCCGGCTGAGTCCTTCTTCCCTGGCCTTCCTCTTCAGTATTCAGCTCGAGACTGGAAAGCACTGAACGGAAGGCACCAGGGATGCGGGCCCTTCGTTATTGCCATGTCCCTGTCCCTGTCCCCTCAGCCTGCCCCCATGCAGGTGTCGGGGCCACAGGCGCCATAGCGGTGTGCAGACGCGGTCGCATGGAGGCTGTCCCCGCGGGTGGCCTGTTCAGCAGCTGCTGCCTCAGCTGGAGGAATGCACCTGGCAGGGCAGGGGCCCCACCAGGGGAAAGGACTTCCACGCCAAGGAGGAAGCCAGGTGTTTTTCCGGTTTTGTCGTGGGCACGTATCATTGGACAGGTTTGCGCGCGCGGCCTGGTGGACTGACCAGCCCCGTGGAAGAACCACTGTGCTAAGTTCCACGAGCGTCGGTCATCTCTCAGGGAAAGCACACAAGGTGTTTTCCTTGGTTTTTTTTGTTTTTGTTTTTTTTTTTTATTTATTTGACAGAGATCACAAGTAGGCAGAGAGGCAGGCAGAGAGAGAGGGGAAGCAGGCTCCCCGCAGAGCAGAGAGCCCGATGTGGGGCTCGATCCCAGGACTCTGAGACCACGACCTCAGCCGAAGGCAGAGGCTTTAACCCACTGAGCCACCCAGGCGCCCCAGGTGTTTTCCTTGTGACGAAGACACTCGGGACTCACTGTTGAAACGGCCCCTGTGTCTGTCGCACAGCAGGGTCCCCGCCAGGGTCATCAGGTGGTCTGCTCCCTCCCTAGCTCTCATTTGTCTCCTGCCTGGGAGTCTGTACCTTCTGCCCCCTCCTTCCACTTCCCCTCCTGGCACTCCCCAACTCTCGAACCACAACTCTGGTCTTTCTGTGGGTGTGGGTTTGCGTTTCTTCATTGTTTTGGGTTCCACTTAGTGCGATCGTACAGCGTTTCTCCAATTTCTCGTTTTGGTTTTTGTTTCACAGTTTTTCTAGCAAATAACATTGTCTGTTCTGGGCTTTAGATTCCACACAGCGTGTTTAGGTAGGGATTGAGCATTCGCTTTCCATTTGGAAAACTTTGCTTAAGGTATCTGATACTTAAGGTTTCTAGAACCAAGAAAAGAATGCCACGAGAGGCTGGCTGCTGTGGGACACGGGTAGGGCTGCGCTGCCTTCCTGGCTCCTCTGTGACTTGATCTGGGTGTCCGGATGTGCTGTTCTCTGTGAAAAAGTCAGAGACTGGGCAGAGTTGTGTGTGATACATTTCCTAGCCCGGGCAGTGCATGAGGGCCACAGGGGAGCCAAGCAGGGTGAGAGAGCAAAGCCCGTGGCGGATGAGTGAGCTGCTGCAGGGGCAGGGATGGGCCTGGCCGTGCCATGGGGGTAAGCACGCGTCTAGGATTGGTCCTCGAGGACTGATCCCTGTTCTAGGCCCTGGAGGGAAGGGAAAGATACGGGTACTGCTTTCATGGAGCTTAATGTTGGGGTTGGGGGGACCCTGGCTCATTACCCCTGGGGGGACCGTGCTTTGGTTTGTCAAAGATGAGACCTCCTGAGAATTTCGTACACCCTCTGCCTTGTCAGAGTCTAGGTGGCCTGCCAACGGCACTGCCAGACACACCCCCATGTCGAACTGATGTGCGAGTCACTGACCTCTCGTCTCCCTCTCCAGTATGCCCTGCACGTGTACAACGAGGTGATGAGTGTTGGGCAGAAATACGGAATCCGGAATGCTGGGTACTATGCGCTTCGTAGTCTTCGAATTGAGAAGTTTTTTGCCTTCTGGGGTCAGGATTTAAATACCCTCACCACCCCCCTGGAATGTGGACGAGAATCTCGGGTGAAACTGGAGAAGGTACTGTATCTGCGTGGCCCAAGGGCTCCCCCAAGCCACCCCCTGCCGCAGGAGTGTACGTGGCCTCAGAAAGGAGCGGCTGAGGTGGAAGGCATCCTGCTTGGCGCTCCTGCAGACGGAGGGCTGTTGGGGAAGTTTCTCCATTTCCATGCCATGGACCTTTGTACACGGTACTCCTCTTAGAGTCAGCTGCCTCAGTTTTCTTTCTTTTCAAAGTAAATAGGAACATCATTTTTTAGAAAAGTGCTAGGTCAAGAGGATGTTAGTGAAAAGTCTCTTTCCCACGTCTGCCCCCCACCAACCTGCACCCCGAGCTGCTGCCTCTTCCTCTGAGCATGTGCTCCTCTCCCCGCCACCCCCAGCCAGGCTCCCCGCACTTGCTCCTGCTGCACAAATGATCTTAGGCCTTCCCTTGCAGTACAGCTCTATAGTCTTCTCCGTGCACAATTACAGGTAACTGTTTTCTCTCCAATATAAAAGTAATGAATACTAATTCTGGAAAATAGCAAAGAGTATCAAGGAAATTAAAACACACCATTTTATCTGTTCATACCTGCTTAGGTTGCCTATGTGAACCTACAAGCATTGACTATAGATGTACGTGTGTGGGCTTTTTGTTGAGATTCTACATATATAAAAACATAGTTTTTCTAAAATAATTCTAGTGAGTACGTTTGGAGGATTTTTCTTCCTAAATATTTTCTGTGTGGTCTTGTGGTTGAAATCTGAAAAATGCTTGTGTTACCGAAGTTCCCCGAGGAGGTCTTTACTATGGTGAACGCAGTTTTTCATGCAGTGGGAAACTGGGTGGGGGGGGGGGGTTGCCGAGTGCTGCCCCAGGCCAGGGACGCCAGGGGCCCCTTCGCACCCGGCATGGCCGTCCCGTCTCAGCCTTGCCTTCTTTCCTAGGGGATGGACTTCATTGGCCGAGATGCTCTGTTGCAGCAAAAGCAGAACGGGGTGTACAAACGCCTCACCATGTTCATCCTGGACGACCACGACACCGACCTGGACCTCTGGCCATGGTGGGGGGAGCCCATTTACCGCAACGGGCAGTACGCGGGCAAGACCACCAGCAGCGCCTACAGCTACACCCTGGAGCGCCACGTCTGCCTGGGCTTCGTACACAATTTTTCCGAGGACACGGGGGAAGAACAGGTGGTGACAGCAGATTTTATTAACCGGGGAGAGTATGAGATTGACATCGCGGGACACCGGTTCCAGGCCAAGGCCAAGCTCTACCCGGTCACCTCACTCTTCACTCACAAGCGCCGAAAGGAGGACGTAGAGCTAAGTGACTTGCACGGGAAGTAATGCTGGCGGCCTCACTTCCCCACCTACCCCACACCCTACCGCAGGGCTCCCCTCCGCCTCCCTGTCTGTCCTGACCTCTGCCTCCCAGCTCTCAGCTCCTTGATGCCATTTTAAACTTCACCTGCTTTTAAACCTTTTGCTTTGCAACCTCTTCTCCTTCCACCTTCCCCCCTCCCTTCTGCACTTTTCCATCTACCACTCACTCCGGGCCATTCCTCCCTCCCCTCTTCGCCCACCAGATTCCCGTGGTGACAAGAAGCATGTCTAATGGGCAGGACAGGCGCCAGCTCCACCTGTGGAAGTAGGTAACCGGGACAGTCGGATTTCTAATGCTGTGTTTCGAAGCAAGGGAAGCTGGTGGTGTGCAGGCCTCAGGGCAGGAGTTCCGTGAGGCCAACTTTTCTCGGAGCGGTGGCTCGCTGTGTGTGTGGCTCAGCCCTGTGCGAGCGCGGGCCGTGCTGCCAGGCCAGGCGGATCCCTCTCCCTTTCCCTGTGCCGTGGGCTGGCCCCCTGGTACCTCGAGCAGGAGGACGACCATCTACCTCACCCCCGCGAGGCATCCCGTGGATGCTGTCTGGTCTCTAGTGAACAGCGGCCCTGGCACCATCCCGAGGTCCCCTACCAACCTGGGTGTTACAGTGTCAGGCCGGGGCCACCGGCCTCAAATTTTCTCCGTGTCTCGCTCAGCTCTCCAAGAGCGCTTGTCGGCCTGAGTAAACAAGCCAGTGTTGGAAAGGGAAAAACCATGTTGCCTTTTGTGTTGCTTTTCCCGGCTGCAAGGGTCTGATCTCAGAAGGTGCAGAGCCCCAAGGCGGTTTCCTGCTGCTAGAACGCTGCTGCTGCTTTCTGCCTCTAAGCTCAGTCTCTCCAAGCGCATTTGACTTAGTCCATCCTCCCTCCCCTGTCCCTTGTGCAGTGGGCCCTCAGCCAGTGAACACTGCGGTCCCTTTGGAACAGGATGGTCGTGCGGTCTTGGCTGAGGAGCCAAACCTCGCTGGCCATGCTGAGTTCGAGAGAGCTGCTGGCCTCCCCACTGTGGCTTCCTCTGGCCCAGAACAGACAGATCCACACAGCGCTGACCACCCCCCACGCCCCTGCCATGGGTCTGCTTTGAGTTCTGAGCGTGGAGAGAGTACATCCTGAGTCTGCTCTCGGCCAGCCAGCGCTCTGGGGCTCCGGCATGGAAAAGGGCCTGGGGCACCAGAAAGGCCCTCCATGCTGTTAGGTAGGGGTCAGCTGGGCCACCTCTGCTGTTACAGATTTTGAACTGTTTTCTTGGTATCTTGGATGCATTAGCTCTAGTCAGGTCTCTGTACTAAAAAGCCTTTTGTTTTAGAGCAACTTAGAATTCTCAGCTGTGTCTGCTGTGGCATTTCTTGGGCTCTGTTTACTCAATCAGACAGATTCCTTCTAGACACTGCTTGCCATTTCCCCAGCCAGACAACTCCTACTTGATCACTGACTGCTTAAGGAGGTCTTAGTTGATTTATTAAGGGAGTAGGTAGTTAGAACTCTGTTCCCAGAGAGATGCTGCCCCTGGGGAGAAAGGGGCAGCGCTATTGCCCCACTGGACAGCAGGCGCAGCAGGGGCCCGACGGAGGAAGGATCGCGGCGCTAGAGGCAGCCTATGCTCTGTGCCACACTCATCTTTGTAAATGAAAAACTATTTCAGGTTGAATCTAAAAGACATTCTAGCTTTATTAGTTACTTATATCTTAGCTATAATTGGCAAGATGTTAATGTTCCGGGGCATCGCTGTTTGTTGAGGACCCTGACACACACACTTCGCTTCTGACACTTGAACACTCGCCCTTGAAATCTCTTGGTTAAGTCCGACTTCGTCAGTCTCAATTCGGTAGTTTCCCTCTTTGCTCGTAACTGTGAGGGGGATGACCCTTCCCTGCCTCCCCGCATACCTGACAGAACGTCCGTCCCGCGGCGGTCAGGCCCCGTGCGTTACCGCGGATGACCACTCGCCTCTCCCTGGAGATCCCAGGGATCCGGACTGCTGTGAACGGTGAGCGGGACTTTGTGTTCAGACACGCGGTCTTTTCTCTGAAAGGATCCACTGTCACCTCTTGTGCTGTCTTGATCTTGTGCTCTCTTGAGGGAGGGCCTCTGCGCTCTTCTCTTTGAAGCTAGAAACACAAAGCATAGCGGCCTCAAGCAGATGAAAACTCAGGGCTGCGGGTCCCTGCGGCCCCTCTCCTCCCCTGAAATACCTGCTAAGCCCCCACTTCTGGCACCACGTGTAAATCCTGGTTCCCGGCCCTACCACGGTCACTTGTCTTCTGTGGAAGCTTGCAGCGGAGAGACTCCCTGTGCGTACCAGAGCGCTCTAATTTGGAAAACTTAAGAGCAAGGGACAAGAACTACCTGCTGTCCTCTAACCTGTGTCGGAGCCACAGAGCACCGCACAGGGGACCTGCTCCAGGAGAGAGAACCACACAATCCCCCTACGTTTTTAGTGCTCTGCTGGGGGCAGGGGTCCCTCCCTGTGCCCCCGAATACAAGAGCTGCCCTTCAGAAGAGGGGCACAGAGACCACTAGGCTCAGTGATTAACCTCAGTTACCCCATTTCTGCAGGAGGAGAAGCCTGCTGACTTGGCTTCTCACCAGATCTGGTGTCCGTGGATTCTACCTTGTACAGACCAACAGCTTTACCTCTTTCCCCTCTGAGGCAGTGAAACAAGTGAAAAGTAACAACTCCTTCCTCCACTACCAGACTCTGAGCGTATTTGCAGTGTTCACCGCCCCCCCATGCGGCGGGACTGAAGCTTTCTGGAAGCAGCTGACCCTCACTGGAGAGCTGACCCCTCACCTTGCTTTCTGGCTCGGTTCATCCTCCGCCTGATGGACACATGTGCCGGCATCTGAGTCTCTACCCTCCGCTGAGAACCTGAGGGAGATAAAAGGGAATCTTCTATCATCTGTCGTCATAATTCTGACCCCAGAAGGCTGCGTCCTGGCTGACTTCCAGGGTTCGCTTCCGGGTTCGGCCTGCTGTCTCGCCGCAGCTGCCCGACCAGTGGAAGCAGCGAAGGGCCCCTCTGGTATCCGAGGTGGAGCTGTGGGCACCTTGCTTAGTACTGGAGAACTTTCCTACTGTTTCCATTTCCTTTGGCACACTCCCCCTCCCCAAATCTATCAGAACGACAAAGGGAACATTTTCACGAGTCGAGAACTGTCACTTGCAGGCGCATGGGTTCGGAGCAGCACTGCAGAGGGCAGAAACGGTAGCTGACCCGGGAGTCTTCAGTTAGCTGACGGGGCGCTAACCATGTCTCGCAGTAAGTCCTGAGCGAGCCCCGGGCTCTGCCTGGCAGCGCGTCCCCGGCAGCCCCCCTCGGCCTCCTCCACTTCAAGGTGCTGAGTTGTAAGGCTCCCCGTCATCCGCACACGGCTGCGTCTGCAGCCGCTCATCACTACAAATGCACTATTTTTCAAGAGAACTAAATATTTTTGTACGTCTTTGCCTTCTCTTTGTTCATTAAACACCAGAGTTATTCACTGTATAATGTGATTCTTGACTTCTCCAAGCAGAGAATCTGCATCCCTTGAAGAATTACACATTTCTTCCTGAGCTTTCTCCTCATATCTAGAGGTACCTATTTTTACCCTTCACAAACCTTTTCTGCCTTCTCGGTTTTCTGTCCAAGGACAGAAATTACAAGAGGGTAGGAAGGATATTTTTAGCATCAGTTTCAAAAGATCTATGCCAGGATTTCCTTTGCACACCAAGAACTGGAGCTGGGAGCACCTCTTTTCAAGCCCGGTTCTCGTGCCTTACGCCAGGATGTCCCACGGTGGGTGTAGGATGAAAAGAAACTTCATTTCAGTCTGAGGGTTCCCAGGCACCCCGCCACCGCCTCCCTTCCCCAGAGCAGACAGGTGAGGGGAAAAAGCTTCTGCGGCTTCTTTCACGGAGGGGTTTCTAGCAGCACAGTTAATGCTTCACTCTCGAGCCTCCTCTTGGATCCAGGAAATGCCGTTGTGATTATCGTTCAGGCTGTAACTCCTCTTTTACGTCTCTAAGTGTGCAGTTGGCTTAGCCCCTTTTGGTCCCTCTGCAGTGTCAGCTTCTGGTGCTGAAGACATCTGAGGCACTTTAGGGGATGGGACTTTTTCTTGAGAACTCTGGTGACTTTAGGTACCCGGGGTGAATTTCTGCCTCCATGAATGTGGTATTAACATTGTGCACTGTGTTTCTATCAAGCCAGATTCCAATTCAGATTTCCTTTTCATGTTACTAAATTTGTAAATGAATAAACAGACATTTTAATTATCTGGCTGTGTCCACTTATGAAATGTTCATCTCTAGTAACTCAATAAATGTATTTGGCCATCGCCAAGAGGTAAACACTTTCCATAAAACCATTTACACTGATACCAAAGAGGAAGAAAACCACATGGAAACCAAGGGTAAGCTAGAGGCATCGTGAAACCTCCACACAGTGGTGGCAGCCTGGGGAGAGCCTCTGGTTACTGTCCTGAGGTTCCGATCTCTGTTGAAGGATCTGACCTCCCCTTCTGCCTACTGATTACACAGTAAGAACCTGACACTTGACACATCACCCATCACCTGAGGGCCCGCACTGGTGTGCAAAATAGACTCTGTCCGTGCTTGCTCACATAGTAGGAAGAGAAGAAAACAGAGACGCACCCACATCTTTCACTACATGACCTAAAAATTCAGTCACTGGACTTTACTTACCCAGCGGTTTTTTGAGCGACTACATCTGTGAATCCGTAGATTGGCTAATGGGTCTATAACAATCTCATCGTGTCTTCCAAACCTACTTGTTAAATTTCCAGATAACTGAATGGCAACATTCAGTACAAAGGTACATCCCACACTCTCGGACTAATTCCAAAGGAAGGGTTCATGAAACACTGTGCACAGTGACACTTCCAGAATATGCCACAGTGATGCCCTTAGGGCACAACTCTCCGATCACGGGTACCTCCTCACTGTTACCGTGCCACACTGCCTAGCCCCGTGACGCGCCACAGGAGCAACAAGTGACTGTAGGAAGGAAGCACCCGGCAAACGGGGGCAGAGCAGGAAGACTTACCTCCCAGCCCCTCCACCGAACGAAAGGCCGGCAGAGTTCATTCCCGCCAGGACGAAGTAGCCCCGCACCGAAGGAGACTCGCCCATGATGCACCTCATGTCCGGGGTGAAGGTCTCGGGGCAGTTCACCAACTTCAGGATCTCCAGGGTCTCCAGGTCGGGCATGCGACGCAGGAGGGAACTCAGCAGGGGCTCTGAGCTGTGAAAACAAACCCAAACACAGTCCTCAGCTTTAGCGGATTCAAAACCTTCCGACTCCTGCTTCCCGACTCCCTCATATCACAGAGAACCTCCTGAAGGAGGCTTTCTCAGAAGTGCCAAATGGCCCGAGTCAGAAAGCCGCCCCTCACGTAAATGCACGCTCTGAGGATTAGCGTGCAATATCCGGAAATCCAGCTTGTACACAGGTCACGTGTCTTCATTTAA